AAAATGAAGAAGGAGCTATACTGCAGTGGGAAAAAAAATTAGAATCACTGTAGATCTCTTCACACAAACACTGAACTCACGAAAGGCCTGGGAAAGTACCATACGAGCCCTGAGAGCCAATAGCTGCCAACCCAGACTGATATACCCGGCAGAGCTAGCATTCATATTCGATGGAGAACTGAAATTTTTTTTTTTTTGGGTCCGGTTGTGGGCCCTGAACTCTGGGCCTGGTCACTGTCCCTCAGCTTTTCAGCTCAAGGCTACCACTCTACCACTTGAGCCACAGCGCCACTTCCGGCTTTTTTTCTTTTTGCTTATGTTGTGCTGGGGAATCGAACCCAGGGCCTCATGCATGCAAGGCAAGCGTTCTACTACTGAGCCATCTTCCCGGCCCCTGAAAATTTTTAATAGCAAAGAAAAACTAAATGAATACATAAACATTAAGCCAGCATTACAAAGAATACTAAGAGGGGGGACACAACGTGAAGAAAGCAACCAGGAACTGGGACCTGCACCCAGACAGGCATTAATCAAAGTCTAACTGAGCAAGCACAGGAAGAAAGGAAAGAAGAAAAACTTAGGAAAACGGAATAACAGGGACAACAATGCATCTCTCTATACTTTCTCTTAATATTAATGGGCCTAATTCACCAATCAAAAGAAAAAGAACTGCAGACTGGATCAGAAAACATGACCCATCTGTTGCCTTCAGGAGACCCACCTCTCAGCCAAACATACAAACAAATTCAGAGTAAAAGGTTGGAAAAGGATCTACCAATCAAATACCCCCAGTAAGAAAGCAGGTGTAGCTATCCTGATATCTGATAAAATAAACTTCATTAAAATCAGTACAGAAAGACAAGGACGGACACTACGTATTAATACAGGGAACAATCCAAGAGGAGGATATTACCATCATCAACTTATATGCCCCAAATATTGGTGCACCCAGATATGTTAAACAAATACTCTCAAACTTACAGAATAAAATAGATCCCAATACGATAATACTAGGAGACTTTAACACACCACTCTCACCAAAGGACAGGTCTACCGAATTAAGTGAGGCCATACTTCAAGTGGAATGAACTGACATCTACAGAGTATTTCACCCTAAAACAACACATTACACATTCTTCTCAGCAGCTCATGGAACTTTCTCCAAAATAGACCATATCATAGTTCATGCAAGGAACTTAAGCAAATACAAAGGTATCGACATAATCCCCTGTATCCTATCTGACCACAGTGGAATCAAGCTAGCTCTCAATAACAAAGCATACCGCAGAAATTTCTCTAATACATGGAAATTGAACGGCACACTCCTTAGCAATGCCTGGGTAACGGAAGAGATCAGAGAAGAAATAAAACATTTCCTACAACTCAGTGAAAATGAAAACACCTCGCAAAGGAACTTGTGGGATACAGCAAAAGCAGTCCTGAGGGGCAAGTTTATTGCCCTCAGTGCCCACATCAAGAGAATGGAGACAGACCAAGTAAATAATCTCATGTTGCAATTAAAATAGCTAGAAAAACAAGAAAAAATGGAACCTAAAGTTACTAGACGAAGCCAGATAACCAAATTAAGAGCAGAGATTAACCAATTAGAAAATCAGAAAATTATAGCCAAAATTAACCAAACAAAGCTGGTTCTTTAAAAAATAAACAAAATTGATGGCCCGTTGGCAAGATTAATTAAAAAAAGAAGAGAGGAAACCCATATTAACAGGATTAGGGATGCCACGGGAAAAATCACAACATGTCCCCAAGATATCCAAACAATCCTAACGGACTACTTTCAGAAGTTATACTCTCTAAAGGAAGAAAACCTGGCAGAAATGGATACATTTCTGGAGAAATGCAAGTTGCCCAAACTGAGCAAAGAAGAAGTAAACCAATTAAATAATCCAATATCCTACAACGAGATACAGGAAGCTATCAAAAGTCTTCCAACAAAAAAAAGCCCAGGGCCAGATGGATTCACAGCAGAATTCTATAAGACCTTTACAGAAGAACTAATACTCATACTCCTCAAGCTCTTCAGAGAAACAGAGAAGGAGGGAGCTATCCCAAACTCATTCTACGAAGCCAATATCACTCTCATCCCCAAACCAGGCAAAGACCCAACCAAAAAGGAGAATTACAGGCCAATTTCCTTGATGAACACAGATGCAAAGATCCTTAACAAGATTCTAGCTAACAGAATCCAGAAACACATGAAAAATATCATACACTATGACCAGGTAGGCTTCATCCCAGAGATGCAGGGATGGTAAGTCAATAAATGTAATCCAACACATCAACAGAGCCATTGTCAAGAATCACATGATTATCACCACAGATGCAGAAAAGGCCTTTGATAAAATTCAACATTCTTTCATGCTAAAAGCTCTGGAGAAAATAGGAATAGAAGGAACATTTCTAAAAACAATAAAAGCCATTTATGACAGACCAATAGCCAATATTATACTTAATGAGGAAAAGCTACAACCAGTTCTCCTAAAATCAGGAACAAGGCAAGGATGCCCACTGTCTCCACTCCTCTTCAATATAGTCCTGGAACCCTAAGCCAGGGCAATAAGGCAAGAAAAAGACATTAAAGGGATCTGCATAGGGAAAGAAGAAGTTAAACTATCCCTTTTTGCAGATGACATGATACTATACCTTCACGATCCCAAAAACTCCATCCCCAAACTCTTAGAAATCATAAACCACTTAGGCAAAGTAGCAGGATACAAAATAAACCCACAAAAATCAGTCGCCTTCCTGTACACTGACAATGTACAAGAAGAGAGGGAAATAAAGGGAGCAACCCCATTCACAATAACCTCCCAAAAAATAAAATATTTAGGAATTAACCTAACCAAAGATGTAAAAAAACTATTTAATGAAAACTATAAAAAGTTAAAGAAAGAAATTGCAGAAGACACTAGGAAATGGAAAGACCTCCCATGCTCTTGGATAGGCCGAGTTAATATAGTAAAGATGGTAATACTGCCAAAATTAATATACAAATTCAATGCAATTCCTATTAAAATCCCAATGACGTACATCACTGAAATACAGAAAACAGTCCAAAAATTCATATGGAACAACAAAAGACCTAGAATAGCCAAAACAATTCTAGGGTGTAAAGACAACATGGGAGGGCTATCCATGCCGAACTTCAAACTCTACTACAGAGCTATAATAACAAAGACAGCATGGTACTCGCACAAAAACAGACCCAAAGACCAATGGAACAGAATAGAAGATCCAGAAATAAATCCACAGGCCTTACAGCCAGCTGATACTCGACAAAGGAGCCAAAGACATATAATGGAAGAAACACAGCCTCTTCAACCACTGGTGCTGGGAAAACTGGGCGGCCACATGCAGAAAACTAAAAGTGGACCCCAGCTTATCGCCATGCACCAACATCAACTCAAAATGGATTAAAGACCTTAACATTAAACCTGAATCTCTGAAACTACTGTAGGACAGAGTAGGAGAGACACTTGAACTAATAGGCACAGGAAGGAGCTTCCTGAACAGAGTCCCAGGGTCACAACAAATTGGAGAGAGACTCGACAAATGGGACTACCTTAAAAAGCTTCTGCACAGCTAAATCTATCGCAACCAAGCTAGAAAGACAACCAACTAATTGGGAAAAAATATTTACCAGCAATATATCAGACAAGGGGTTAACATCCTGTATATACAGGGAACTCAAGAAACTAATCCTTCCCAAACCTAACAAACCAATTACTAAATGGGCAAGGGAACTAAAGAGGGACTTCTCAGATGAAGAAATAAAAATGGCAATGAAACACATGAGGAAGTGTTCATCATCTCTGGTGGTGAAGGAAATGCAAATAAAGACAACCCTGAGATACCACCTTACCCCAGTCAGAATGTCCCACATCCACAAATCAGCCGACAAATGCTAGAGGGGATGTGGAGAAAGAGGAACCCTATTACACTGCTGGTGGGAATGTACACTTACACAGCCACTTTGGAAAGCAGTCTGGAGGGTCCTTAGAAAGCTAAAGATTGACCTCCCTTACGACCCAGTCATACCACTTCTAGGCACCTACCCTGAACAACAGGAACCAATATACAAGGACACATGCACCTCCATGTTTATTGCAGCACTGTTCACAATAGCTAGGATATGGAAACAACCGAGATGCCCCACCACAGATGAATGGATCCAAAAATTGTGGTTTCTATAAACAATGGAATATTATGCCGCCATTAGAAATGACAGAATAATGGCATTTGCATGGAAATGGATGGAGCTAGAAGGAATCATATTGATTGAGGTAAGCCAAGAGCAAAGAGACAAACGGTACATGGTCTCCCTGATAAGTGGATGCTAAATCCAAAATGTTAGGTGATACGAAGAAATTAACAGGACTTAAGAAAAAATGCCCACTTACCTGGTCAAACCACTACTAAATATCCCCATGCTGCTGATCACATGTATGGTGTATAACATGTGAACACCGTTATATGTTACAGACTGTGATAGACAATTTGCTCCAGGAAGGTTAGAATGAACTTGTGACTTTAAATGAGCATCATTATTCCACAATACTGTGAAATTTGGGAAATTATGTAATCACTTAATCACAATTAAAAAAAAAAACCTCGGGGAAGGTAGGGAGGGAAGGGATGGCAGGGGGAAACAATGGAGGGGGTAACAATGCTCAATAGGAAGTGTACTCATTACCTCACTCATGTAACTGTAACCCTCTGTATAGTATCTTTACAATAAAAAATTTAAAGAAATATTGACTTCTTGTTAACTGTTTAAAATCGTTTGCCTATTTATAACTTTTCACTAGTTTCATTAGATAATTTCTTGAAGTATTGATATTTTTATTTATTTTTAATTGATAGGGGTCTAATCTAACATTTCCAAGTATGTAATTTGTTTTCAAGCAAATTATCGTTCCTTATCTATTTTCTTTTAAAGGATATTTTTGAGAAAAACTCAAGTTTATCTTTTGGAACAGGGTCATTATCGTTACTGTGACGCTCTTTCTATGCTGGGTGAATATGACTGGGCCCTACAAGCAAACGTAAAAGCTCAAAAACTGTGTAAAAATGACCCTGAGGGGATGAAGGATCTACTGCAGCAGCATGCAAAGCTACAGAAACAAATAGAAGATCTGCAAGGTATTTCACCTAAAATTCTTCTGGTTATAGTCAGATGCTCTTTAAAACTTATGAAGGTGGGTTTCTTGGCTTAATGAAGACCATAAACCAATTCTTAGATGACTTATATACTTATTTAGTACAGTCAAGTCATTCAAATTTTCCATTTCTGTCTGGGTAGAAGCACATTAGTGTTCCGTTCCATTAGGTAATTATGAAGGAATTATATATTTTATTTGAAAGAGATAGCATCTTAATTATATTTATTCTTTTGTGGAAAACGAGCTTTACCAGAAATTTCGAGTAAAGTTTTTGAAAGAAAATTGTAAAAACAATTTAAAAAATTTTTCTCCATTATTCAAGTTATCTTCTAAAGGAAAGGCTCTTCAGTAGAGGTGTCTGATGTTTTGCACCAAATTTGCAGACAGTTCTATAGCATAGTGAATAGATACAGATATATAGATATATATATCTATATATATGTAAGCACACACGTGCACACTCACAAACACACACCAAAAATGGATTATGCAGCCTTAGTGTTATAGATTTTCCTTCTGCTGTTAATCACACTGCCATAGTTTATCAGTGCACTTAACAAATTTTAGCACATAGCTCCTTATTTTTTTCTTATTTGAGTATTTATTGTGTATTGAATTAAGCCAAGCAGTTCAGTTTCACTAGTAGCTGTTGTCATCCAGGTAATACGATTCTAAGGTCATGAGCTCTTTGCAGATAGGTACCCTCTAATTCGAATTTATGTATTACTGTCTACTTGGCAATAATCACATGTAATTGAATCACATGTCTAAGTATGTTGTATAGCAGATTGTTGGCACTATCCTGAAATGAAAGACAACTACAATTTTGAAATAGCTTAGGTTTATTTTTCAACCTTCTAAATTTGATGTTCTTAAATATCAGCTTAATGGAAATTTAAAAATCTTGAAATCTGTGTTGCTAAGACATTGATTACTGTGTGTGTGTGTATGATTGACTTTTATAGGTCGAACATCTTACAAGAATCCAATTAAAGCTTTTTATGAGAGCAGGTGAGTTAACATCTGATTAATAGGTGGTGTTTGGAATGATTTTGCTCGTGAACTTAAGAGTCACTTATATTAGTCATCTTAGGAACTAATAGCAATCCCCCAGTAAAGATAGGGATAGTAGAGAAAAGAAAGGATTTTGTTGTTGTTGTTGTTGTGGAGGCTGAACCCTGGGCTTGGGCTCTGTCCCTCAGCTCTTTAGCTCAAAGCTAGCGCCCTACTACTTGAGCCACAGTGCCACTTCCAGCTTTTTTCGCTTATGTGGTGCTGAGGAATCGAACCCAGGGCCTCATGCATGCGAGGCAAGTGCTCTACCACTGAGCCAATTTCCCAGCCCAAAGAAAGGATTGTATGTCTGTACGTGTGTGCATGCATGCGTGCGTGCGTGCGTGCGTGCGTGTGTGTGTGTGTGTGTGTGTGTGTGTGTGTGTTCTTGTATTTAAGATGAGGTAATGTGTGTGTGAGTGGTCAGATTTATTTTTCTGATTGTTTTACTGAACCGTGTGTGTGTGTGTGTGTGTGTGTGTGTGTGTGTGTAAAGAGTAGAGATTAATAATCTGATTCTGTAGGGGAAAATGATCTGAAATGTTAATTTCAAGTTACTGTGTTTGAAGGAGACCAGTTTGACCACGAGGTCCTGGCTGCAAAAGCTATTATATAGTCTGTGTTTCACACCCTTTATCTCTGTTCTGGAAAACTTCACCAGCCTCCTGTTTTTAAAATGCTACAGAAAGACTTGAGTATGCTCACAAGGAAATAAATAATAACCTAGGTTCTGCATTTGATTACCTGACAATAAGATAGATTATTGCCTTTTCTACAGGCTTTTTTAGATTATATAAAATATTGAAATGGTCAGTAATGATGTCAATCTTCTGTTCACTTTTAATATTGAAACCCAGAATAACTTGTCTGGAACCATTATTAAAATACTATTATATAAAGCCTCATCTTTGTGGTAGAAAATCTTTTTAAAATAATACCTTGCCTTCAAAAAAGCTGATTGCTGCAGCCTGTTAGTTTGAAGGATGATGTTTTTAATGCATACTAATTAGTAGGAATAAAGTGATTATTCTTTTTATTACCTCAGGAACTCCACATCTAGGAATCTGTCAGCACCTGCATTTAGTGCATCCCTTAATTTCGTGGAGAAAGAGAAAGCTTTCAAAAAAACTAATCACGAAATGGCAAACAGTGGTCATCACAATCAAAAGGTAAACTCAGTTCAAGTTAGTTATTCCAAATATAAATAGCTTCGTGGATTTTTTTTTTTTTTTGGTTGTTGTTGTTTGTTTTGTTTTTTGTTGACCTGGGACTTGAATTCGGGGCCTTTCCGCTGTCTCTGAGCTTTTCTTCTGGAGGCTAGTACTCTACCACTTTGAGCCACAGTGCCAGTTCTGGTTGTTAATTGGAAATAAGAGTGTCATGAACTTACCTGCCCGGACTAGCATCAAACCTTGATCCTCAGATCTCAGCTTCCTGAGTAGCTAGGATTTCAAATGTGAGCCACAAGTTCCCAGCTTAGCCTTATATTTTTACAGTATTATTTAGATAATCATGGAAACCAAATAATTTGATATTATCAACCCTTTTTGTCTCTTGATATCAAGAAAATGGCTCTTTTTTTTTTTTTTGTCGGTCCTGGGGCTTGAACTCTGGGCCTGGGCACTGTCCCTGCACTATTCAGCTCAAGGCGAGTGCTCTACTACTTGAGCCACAGCACCACTTCCAGTTTTCTAGTGGTTTATTGGAGATAAGAGTCTCAAGGACTTTCCTGCCCAGGCTGGCTTTGAACCGTGATCCTCAGATCTCAGCCTCCTGAGTAGCTAGGATTACAGGCGTGAGCCACCGGCGCCTGGCTGGCTATTTTTTTGTTAAGGAGTTGTCTGGTTGTCTCATATAACTACATAATGATAATGTATAGTCAGATGCTGGTGTTCCCACAGCCGACCAAAAAAAAACTAGATAGATAGATAGATAAAATTCAGACAACAGACAGTTTATTTTTCCAAGTATTTTTCAAGATCACACTTATATGTCTTTAAATATTTTTTCTAAGAATCATTTTGCAGCCAGGCACTGATGGCTTATGCCTGTAATCTTAGCTAGTCAGGAGGCTGAGATCTGAGGATTGTGGTTCGAGGCCAGCCCAGGCAGAAAAGTTCCTGTGAGACTTACCTCCAGTTAATCACTCAAAAGCCAAAAGTGGAGCTGTGATTAAAGTGATAGAGCACTAGCCTTGAGCAAAAGAGCTCAGGAATAACACCTAGTCCCTGATTTCAAGTGCTATAACCAATAAAAAATAAATATATACCATTTTGCTACCAGGAGTGAGTCCTGTTGAATTCTGCTATAAATTTTGTTCTATTATATAATTATTGACTTCTTTGAGGATGTATTGCTTGGAAAGTCTCACTAGTTTTAATTGTCATTGGCAGATGGTAGATGACACTTTGAGAGGAGATGAATGTGACTGCTATCCTGAATTTATACCACCATCAAGTGAGTGTTTTTTCCTTATAAACATTGTTATTCAGTTAATATAGTGTTGCCTGAACTTTTATGACCAACATTTGTACAAGCCTCACTTACATTTGCTGTTGTTCTGTTTGTAATGTTTCTGAAATGATCTATAAACATTGACTCCAACTGCCTTTGCACCCCTTTCTCAACTTTCTATTCTTGTGGACCTTTTGGGTTATGCAGCAGTTTTTTGTTGTGGTGGTGGTGATAGTACTAATTTATTTTTTTTTTAATTTCTAAAATGAATTCCACCTTTGGGTTTGGACCATTTTATCCAGAACCTACCTATCTTCAGTCCAAATACAAATGCTATATCCACAGTAACTATTCCCAGCCTTTCCAGTGTAAACAATTCCTGTGAGTGACAAGACAAACAACTAACTATGAAATTAATACATCAGTAACAACACAAAGTGTTTTCTATTTTTCTTCAGACTAAATGGCTGCTTAGGTAATTGTAAACTGCCTGAAAAAAAGGAACCATTGCCTTATCTTTTATCTGCTGCAGACCTAAATAATAACCATTATTCTAACTTACCTTTATAATATTCACCATTGAGAGAAGGATGTAAGGGTGACTTTGATCAAGATGCACTGTACTCATAATTTGACTTATTGAATTGAAACAAAGCCCCTTTGTTCAACTACTTAAAATTTTTAAAATATATATTTATATATACTCTATCACCTTCTATCTTGGCTTACATCTTTGTAGTTATGCTCTTGTACAGTATTCTTTCTGTGGCTTTCTTATTCTTGTTTGCATATTTTATTGGCTTACTGTCAGGCTTGTAAACTTTTACGTACAAATTTCAGGAATAAATAATTTTGTATTCACAGGTCAGCCTCCAAAACATAAAGGAAAACAAAAATCTCGAAATTGTGAATCAGAAAAATTCAGGTATATTTTTCTCTCATTTTAGACGGACTTTATTTGAGATTGCATTAGATTTAGAGGGATTCAGTATGTTAGTAGTATTCAGGAACTCATAATGGCTTTCCATTTACGGAAGGATTTTACTTATAGAAGGGTAATTTTTTTTTTCTTTTTTTCTCTTGGCCTGGGCACTGTCCCTCAGGTCTTCAGCTCAAGGCTAGCGCTCTACCACTTGAGCCACAGCACCACTTCCGGCTTTTTCTGCTTATATGGTACTGAGGAATCGAACCCAAGGCCTCATGCATGGGAGGCAAGCATTCTACCACTGAGCCAACTTCCCAGCTATACTGGTTTTTTTTTGTTTGTTTTTTTTTTTTGTCAGTCGTGGGGCTTGAACTCTGGGCCTGGGCGCTGTCCCTCAGCTCTTCAGCTCAAGGCGAGCACTCTACCACTTGAGCTACAGCGCCACTTCCGGTTTTCTGGTGGTTTATTGGAGATAGGAGTCTCACGGTCTCTCTTGCCCGGGCGGCTTTGAACCGCGAACCTCAGATCTCAGCCTCCTGAGTAGCTAGGATTACAGGCGTGAGCCACCAGCGCCCCACTGTACTGGTTTTTGAATGTAGGTCTTGGTGCTTCCTAAGTAAATGTCTTTCACTTGAGCCATATCCCCACCCAGTACTGAGTAGTTTCAATAACATTTAGTAAATATTCTGTATCTTCATGAAAGTAGTGCTGTTTTATTTTCAAATGCTTCTTTCTCTTTTAGTTCTAGTTCACAACTGACTCTACCAGTAGATTTGAAGAGTCTCTTGGAGAAACAATTTTCTAAATCTTCTAGAGCTGCACACCAGGTAAAAGACGTTGCTTTTCCTGTAGAGAAAGCCAACTCTTTGTGGGGGGAAAAAAAAACAAAACCATCTTTCACATGAATAAAGTTTTAGCCAAGATTTAATATGTAGTTCCTAAGAAACCAAACTAGCACTAATTCAACATTAATGTGATAATTATTAGCCAGAGCTTTAACTAGCAGTTAATACTGTAGAATTACAATACCTTTGTTTCTCAAAAGTTTTAACAATAATGTTAACGTTAAATAATTTTAAAAGGATTTAAACAATTTCAGTGTTTTTACTGGCTGTAAAAGAGCAAACTTTTCTTTGAATAACTTGATATTAGTCAGATATACTTCACCTACATATAAAATAACAAACTTTGTATATAAATCTTTTCATGTTATCTAGTGATGGAAAAGTTATTAGCGTGGCATAAGTACTTCAAAATGTGTGTGTCACTTAAAAATTCAGTTACTTCAGTTCTGTATAACAGGTTACAAAGGGAAAACATTTCTAATCATCTATGTAAAACTCGTTTTAGAATATCTAACAGTTGGAGACAATCTTCAGTTGTCTTCAATTGTTTTCAATTCAGGATCTGAGTGTTGTCCATGAGCTTTTTTGCTTAAGGATAATGCTCTACCATTTAAGCCACCACTTCACTTTCAGCTTTTTTTTTTTATTATTATTTTAACAATACTGTACAGAGGGGTTACAATTACATGGGCACTTGCAGCTTTTTTATTTTTATTTTTTTACTTTTTTTTTTTTTTTTTTTTACTTTCAGCTTTTTGATGGTTAATTGGAGATAAGAGTCTTATGGACTTTCCTGCTTAGACTGGTTTCAAATTTCATTCCTATTTATTTATTTATTTTTGCTAGGCCTAGGCCTTGAACTCTGGGCCTGGGCACTATCCCTAAGTTCCTTTTCAAGGCTAGCACTCTAAAACTTATGCTACAGTACCACTTCTGTCTTTTTCTGTGATGAATTGGAGATAAGAGTGTCATCAACTTTCTTCCTTGGGCTGGCTTTGTACTGTGATCTTTAGATCTCAGCCTCTTAAGTAGCTAGGATTTCAGATGTATTCCACCAGTGCCCAGCTCAGCTCTTTCATAGCTTCAATTACAGGGATAAGCCATTGGTGCCCAGCCTGGAAATTTTTGAATTATGTGTTAACATTGATTTTATCAAACTGATAGCTTATATGTGTAATTCCAGCTACTCAGGGAGACTGAGATATGATTATCGAAATTTGATAATTTCAGGCAGTGGCTCACATCAGTCATTCTAGCTACTCAGGAGGCTGAGATCTGAGGATTGCAGTTCAAAGCCAGCCTGGGCAGCAAAGTCTATGAGACTCTTATCTCCAATAAACCATTCAGAAAACCAGAAGTGGTACTGTGGCTCAAGTGGTAGAGCTGTAGAGCTGAGGGACAGTGCCCAAACTCAGAGTTCAAGCCCCACGACCGACCAAAAGATTAAAAAAAAGAAATTTGAAACCAACCTATCCAGATAAATTCAAGAGATTATTACCTCCAATTAACCAGCAAAAAGCCCCAAGTAGAGGTGTGGTTCAAATAGTAGAGTACCAACTTTAAGTGAAAAAGCTAAGCAAGAGCATGAGGCCCTGAGTTAAGCCCCGGCACAAAAGAAACATACAACAACATTGGTTTTTATCAAGTCTAAAAAACTTTGAGACTGTGCAGATAGAAAAATTATTCAAATATTGCATTATAGGTACTCTGAAACTCCATATAAATAAACAACATACATTGTTAAGATGTCAATTGAATCTGAAAAAGGAAGGCTCAGCACCCTGTAGAAATTAAGATGAACTACCCTTTCTTGTCACCGGCAATGGCAGATATATCAGAATGAACATGGGGGAGCATTGCCATTTAATTTCCATTTTTAGGAATTTTTAGGATGATTAATAAAGACTAATTTTGATATTTACTTAATTGTTACTTATGGAATATTATTGATGAATTTAGCATATTTTATTCTTAAAAGGCATAGATTTGGGCTACTGAAACAGGATTTCTTTTTTGCAGGATTTTGCTAACATAATGAAAATGCTGAGAAGCTTAATTCAGGATGGCTACACGGCCTTACTGGAGCAGCGCTGCCGCAGTGCCGCACAGGCCTTTACAGAGTTGCTAAATGGTCTAGATCCCCAAAAAATAAAGGTATTTCTTAACTTTTCATCAGTGCTGATGCTCTTGGGTGAGTTTAGAAGACCATTAAGCTTTAACTTGTGTGTGTATGTGTATAAATCAGACATATATTCAGTGTCTTTACTACTTCATGGTAGTCTAACAGCTTATCTTTGCAAGCCCTATTTTCTAATTCTGTTTGATCCTTAAGTCAATAATAGCAAGATGTTGTTTCACTCTTTTGCTGTTATGGCTAAGAAAGCATGATATAAATTGGGCAGAATTGTGTTCACATTTTTAACTCAAGCATTTTTATTGGCAGCAATTAAACCTGGCTATGATCAACTATGTATTAGTAGTCTATGGACTTGCCATTTCTCTTCTTGGAATAGGACAACCTGAGGTAAGATTTTTTTTTTAACTGAAAAAAGTAATTAAAATAGGACATGGATTTCAGAAGCTATGTGCAAAGTGTTTTGGCTCCTCTCTATACTTTTTTTGAAAATCTAAAATAGCTAAATTAACCTAGTTTATGTGTTTTTAGTTTTGATACTGCTTTTTGTTTTGGATTTTTTGTTTTTTTAGATATAGTGTATTATGTATTCCAGACTGCTGACTGTCCTACCTCAACTCTCAAATGCTGGAATAATCTGTGGGTTTTTTTTTAAATTTACTTTATTATTATAGAGGTGGTACAAAAGGGTTACCCTTACATGAGTCAAGTAATGTGTACATTTCCTTTCATACAGTGTCATCTGTTCCCTCATTCTCTCCCAGCCCCTTCTTCCTGTCTCCACCCACAAATTGTATAGTTCACTTTTATCAGTGTCTAATGAGCTTCACTGTTACCATTTTTCATCCTTTTTCCCTTAAGTTCTGTGTCCTCCTCGCAACCCTTCCAAAGATTTACATGTGAATACACCATATATAAGGCAAAGAAGACAGACTCATCAAAAACTAAAAAAAAAAACAATTCAGAAGACACAAGCAGGAGGATTTTGAGCTTGAGAACTTCCTGAGAAACTTAGCAAGATCCTGTCTCAAAAGAAGTAGTAGTAGAGGAAAATTATGTTTGACTTTCCTACTGGAAAAAAAGTCTATGCTTAGCAATTGATGGGAAACCTGCCTGTTATTTATATAAAAATATAAAGATATCAGAAACACAAATATTGAGGAAAAGGAAAAGTTGGAGATAATGAACATTGTTATCTCATTATATAGAAATTTATACAGAGGGGCTGGGTAGTTGGCTCAGTGGTAGAGCGCTTGCCTTGCATGCATGAGGCCCTGGGTTCGATTCCTCAGCACCACATAAGCAGGAAAAAAAAGCCGGAAGTGGTGCTGTGGCTCAAGTGGTAGAGTGCTAGCCTTGAGCTGAGGAGCTGAGGGACAGCACCAGGCCCAGAGTTCAGACTCCACAAACGGACCAAAAAAAAAAAAAAGAAAGAAAGAAAGAAATTTATATAGAGCTGGGTTGGCTCATGCCTATAATCCTAGCTACTCAGGAGGCTGACATCTGAGGATCATGGTCTGAAACCAGCCCAGGCAAGTCTGTGAGACTCTTATCTCCAATTAACTACTAAAGACCCAGAAATGGAGCGATGGCTCAAATGGTAGAGTATTAGCCTTGAGCAGAAAAGCTCAGGTACAGTACTCAAGCCTTGAGTTCAAGCCCTAGGACTGGCATAAAACAACAGATTATGCATATATGTTACATAAGATCTATGCATCTCACCACAGTAAAAAGTCATGGACTAACCAGACACTGGTGGCTCATACCGGTAATCATAGCTACTCAGGGGGCTGAGATCTGAGGATTGTGGTTCAGAGCCAACCCAGGCAGGAAAATCTAAGAGATTCTTTATCTCCAGTTATTCACCAGAAAGCTGGAAATGGAGCTGTGGCTCAAATGATAGAGCACTTGTGCCAAAAAGCTTGGTTTCCAGGCCCAAATTCAAGCCCCAGGACTGGCATCAAAGAAAAGAAAAGTCATGGATTATTTCTAAATCAGATTTTAGATATTTGTTACATTTGCTGATGGAAGGCCGGAATGGGCCTGGGGGAGATTAGAAAAGGAAGTTTGTTTTAAGCTGGAAAGTTAACTTTGTTAGGCTCTTTTATGGGGGGGGGGGGGGGGGAGTGAAAATGACTTTATTACTGTTTCTTCATCCTGGAGGGTGAATGCCTAGGTTTAGTTTCTTGAGTGCAGGGTGCCCATAATTCTACACATGATCTGCTTGTTAGGTTCAATCTGTGGTTTCCATTGGCTCATTTTTCTGGGATGTTTACTTACCTGCACTGGTTAGCTTTTAAATTTTTAATGATTTTTGGTTTTCTGTAAATGCTAAGATGATTTAGGATGATTCAAATATAATACCCTTAATGCTCACTTGTGCCCTAAGCTTTCTTTGTAGGTGAAAGCTTGAACTCTAAATATCACCCAGTTATCTTTGATATCCCACTCACTTCCAGAGCTCTATTCTTCCTAGGGTTCATTTATTTTTCTTTATGATGGGACAGATAGGGTGTCCTCCATTAATGCCTAATTCCATTTTCAGTAGAATTTTGGAGATAACTATTTATTTAATTTGTACATTGACAGAATAATAATACTGTATTTTACCCTATCAGAATTTAAAAAGTAATTGTTACATTTATAATGTAATTATGAGACTGATTTAAATAAACACACAAAAATATGGTAGAACTGCCACATTTGAAAGCTTTTCACCAGAGTTGTCCCTTAAGCTGTGTGGTTTATGCCAGCTCAGTCCTGGTCTGGAACAGTTTTGAATGCCTCCTTTGGTACTGGCCTCAAAGCTGCTTACAAAACCTCTAGTTTTGTAGTGACATTTCCTTTTACACCCACAACTGGGTTATTAATTTGTACAACTAAATACTTTTGGATTGTTTTCCAAATATAAAATTTATTAAAACACAAAGACTTCCCATTGACAAGAATATTCAAGAGTGTCCTCTGTCAGGTTTTTACTAAAGTTCAGTTTTTCAGGTAGAGCTTTTGTTTGTTACATACCACAGAAGCACGCCAGGGTGTGGGAGAGCCCTTGTTATGCCAGTCCTTCCAAAGGAACAGCACTTCCTAGAATATACATTATGGTGTATTTGCACCAAAATTAATCTTATAAAAGGAAGAACAAACATATCAATTTCTCTCTTTAGTACTGATACTAGTAAATGTGTTTCCATATAACTACTGGAGTAGCAATGTAGTCAGAAATTTATATAATTTCTGAAAAAACAAATACAGAAGTTCATAGGAACTTTTGATAATTAGTTTTTTAAAACATGTATATTATATATATATATTTTATATAATAAGAATTTTTAAAATAAAGCCTATTCCAGTAATTTTTCTTTGTATAAGTGATTGTTTTTCTAATTGCTATTAAAGGAATTATCTGAGGCTGAAAACCAGTTTAAGAGGATTATTGAACACTATCCCAATGAGGGACTTGATTGCTTGGCCTACTGTGGGATTGGGAAAGTATATTTGAAAAAAAACAGGTTAGTAGAAATGACCCTAAGCATCAGGCTAATAACTCACTTGAAGTCTAATGCAATGATGATCCATTTTGCTGCAATTATTTTACTATTTTATGTGTGATACAGTGTCATAATTTTGATTTACTTTGAATAGCTAGTATCTCTATATCAATTATTAATCAACGCTGTTACTGTAGTATCTGGTGTTTTGTATTATTAAATTCAATAAGAAAATCAATAGTAGAATGATTTAACCTGAAGCATGTCATACCCTTTAGTAAGTATCTTCTATGAATGGTGACTGAATTAATATAAAAGAACACTTTAATTGTGAGCTGAGCACTAGTAGCTACTTAGTAGGCTGAGATCTAAGGATTATGATTTGAAGCTAGCCTAGGCAGACAAACCTAAGAGACTCTTATCTCCAATTAACCAGCAAAGAATGTGAAGTGGAATGTGGCTTCAGTGGTAGCATATCAACCATCTTTGAGCAAAAGAGCCAAGTGAGAGCAGGAGGCCCTGAATTCAAGCCCCAGCACTAGCACATACACACACAGGTGTGCGGGAGCGTGCGTGCACACATACACGTTATGAGAGAGGAATGGTGGTACCTGCCTTGTGGTTCCATCTTTGTGGGTAATGATAGGATGATCATGAATGGTGTTTTCAGATTAACTTAGAGCAAGTTAGTTGAGAAACTATCCAAAAACAAACTGAAAGCAAAAGAACTGTGGCTATGAGTTCAACCTTAGAACCCTTCTCCAAGTCTAATTTCCCTAATTAAATGCCAATTTCTTTTTTAAAAAATATGAAAATGAGAGGACATACATTCTCAAAGATATCATGAAGCCAAACATGGCAGCTCATGTCTATAATCTTAGCTACCCAGAGGCTGAGATCATGTTCAATGCCAGCCCAAGCTGAAAAGTCCATGAGATGCTTATCTCCAGTTAACCAGCAAAAAGCTGGAGACATGGCTCAGGTAGTTGAATGCCCGATGAGCATGCTCAAGACCTTCAGTTCAAGCCCTCCCAGCCAAAACAAAAACAAAAAAACAAAGGTATCACGCGTTAGACATAAAAACCCACTATCTACGAAAGTGGTGCTGTGGCTGAAATGGTAGAACATTAGCTTTGAACAGAAGCAGCTCAGGGACCTCACCCAAGCCCTGATTGAAAAAAAATAGTAACAACAACAAAAAACTCTTATTACCACAACCTTCCTTGGAATTTTAACTTAATCCAATGTGCATTTGCTGGCCTAATGCTTCCTGTCTCTTTGTTTTCTTTCCAAATGGTTCATCTGGCCCTTAAGGAACAGGATTATGCCTTACACTTTAAAATCTCTATTCTAGCCACTTATACTCACATAATGCTAGGTGTATTAGGCTAAATTATTCAAAGAAATAATTGTCAGCTAATTAGCCATCATTCACAACTTCAGTTATTTCTGAGCTTTCATCTAATTTTCAAGTGTACCTAGAGTTTCCTTTTTTAGAGATTAAAGAACTTTTATTTTGTGAAATTACTGTCTAACTATGATGAACTATATTAAGGATAAGGTAGATCATTATTATGAATGGCAAATGATTTTAAAGTCCAGTGTGAATTGTTTTGGATATACCTTTTTAATGCAGCAGTGACAGGAAAGTGACATTGGGATTGTGGTAAACTGAGAAGGTTTTACCAATTTGAAATTTCCATTTTAATTTCTAAATAACATGGTATGATTTATATATCTATGATAGATAATGGGCATTCTAATGAGGAATTTTTGCTTCAGAGTTTTGCCGTTGGAAACTGTCTTATGGTAGATGGTGATCTAATTGTTCTGCTCATAAATCTTTTTATACCTGTTGGCAGAAAATAAGTTTTTAAATTAGGAAGTTTTTTTACGATTGGAGAAAGCAAGAAATTGTCTTTATTCTCTCAAGAGCAGAAGAAAGACTTGATTAATGCTATCATCTAGTACTAGGGATTTTTGTTGTTGTTATTGTTGATTTGACTGGGTTTGAACTGGGCCTAGGCGCTGCTATCCCTGAGCCGTTTGTGCTCAAGGCTAGTGCTTTACCACTTGAGCCACAGTGCCACTTCTGGGTTCCTAGTACTTAATTGGAGATAAGAGTCTCATAGACTTTCCTGCCTGGGCTGGCTTTGAGCCTTGATCCTCAGATCTCAGCTTCCTGAGTAGCTAAGATTATAGGGTGAGCCACCAGAACTGGTTCTAGATATGCTTCTTTTTTTTTTTCTGATATTCTTTAGTGAACAGATTCTTAAAACTCTTAAAAGGCCTATTGCATAACTCTCCATAACAAAACAGAACCCAGAACAAAGTTGTGTTTTATTGCTATCAGTGCCCTAGTGATTTTTTTGGGGGTAGGTCTGGTCATGGGGCCTGAACTCTGGGCCTGGGCACTGTCCCTCAGGTCTTCAGCTCAAGGCTAGCGCTCTACCACTTGAGCCACAGCGCCACTTCCAGCTTTTTTCTTTTTGCTTATGTGTGCTGAAGAATTGAACCCAGAGCCTCATGCATGCAAGGCAACCTAGTGATTTTTTTTTAAGAACATTTATCTTGACTATTTCTACCTAGTCATTTACCAAATTTGTTCTTCCTAGTAAGCTTGAAATCTTGATAACTTCTGCAGTAAATGAAAACATGTCACTTCTTCTGAACTTTTTTTTTTTATTATGACTTTAGATTTCTGGAAGCCCTCAATCATTTTGAAAAAGCAAAAACTTTGATTTGTCGTCTTCCTGGTGTGCTAACTTGGCCCACAAGTAATGTGATTATTGAAGAGTCTCATCCAGAGAAAATAAAGGTAACCATTTATTCAAGTATTTCTTTTTTTTTTTTTATTTGTGAACATACTGTAGAGAGGGGTTACAATTACATGGGCAGGATAATGCGTACATTTCTTACCAAGCATTGCAGCCTCCTCCTTTGGTTTACCCTTCACATCCCTTCCCAGCCTCCCCCCTCCCCCCCAATCCCAATCCTTCTCCTCCCCCCTCCACCCCCCCCACCGACGTTGTAAAGCTCGTTTTGGACATGACAACTTGTACTTCTCATTGTTGCAACAGGTCCACCTGTATCCTTAAACAACTGGTTTTTCCCCATCTCCTCCACAAGTTATACTGACATCAAATATAGTGAAAGCAGGGGTTATACTGTGGGGGAGGGACATACAAAGCAACAAAGAGATAATCTTATAAATGTGTTAGAAACACATGCATGAAAGAAAAAAAAACATTAAAATACATATCTAAGGGTTCATTTTCCAAAAAATATGGAACGCTTCACGAATTTGCGCGTCATCCTTGCACAGGGGCCATGCTAATCTTCTCTGTATCGTTCCAATTTTAGTATATGTGCTGCCGAAGCGAACACTTATTCAAGTATTTCTTACTAGCTCAGAGACTGAAGACAGAGGTAGCAGTACTCCATCCAGATGGCCTGGCATGACTCTAAAGACTAGTGAGAATCACTGGCAGTTCCTCTGTGCTAGTCTCATATCTTCCAAGCCCTGAGACTTGGCTTCTGTGATTCCTTCCTATTCTAAGAGGAGGGACATTGAGTTGAGGGAAGTCAAATTATGAGCTCCAAGGTAAACAGCAGGGCAGTTGTACAGGTAGAACCCAACGCCATACATTCTGGAGTTGAGCTTGTACATTTCTAAGCAGTTTGTTGTACTGTTGTACTTAGAAGAAGGTGCAGCACTGTTTTATTTTGGTCACTATAGTTACTGCGATAGTAGGTGAAGAATCAAAGTATGAACGTAGTGTCATGTTCAGAGCCATTAGAATTTTTTACTAGTTTCAGAGAGACTAAATCATGTGTTAAGTCTTCATTTGTAGTGAACTCACAAATCTACAGAACTTAATTTTGATTAAAGCTTTTAAAATCACAAAGGTCAGCTTTTAAACTCAATAGTAAGAAGTTAAATAACCTAATTAAAAACAATGGATCTACAAAGACATTTCTGTAAAGAAAATACAGAGGTTGCCAGTTAGCACAATATCATATCCTTCAGAGATATGCAAGTAAGAAGCATAGTGAATTATCACTTTATACTCGCTAAGATGTAGGTCAGCAATAAGTACCACTAGGGTGTAAAAAAATTGAGAATATTCTTAGATTGCTGAATGTAATGTAATATGGTGTTATAAAGTGGTTCAGCTGCTTTGGGGAAAAATCCCAGCAATTCCACTCCTAGAGTCTATAAAAACATACATGTGGAGGGGGGACCAAGATGGCGACGGGGCAGTAGGGAAACGCCACAGCTCTCTCCAACCAAAAAGAGAGTTTGAGTTCCAACCTTTAATCTCCCCAAGAGACCGACAACAACAAAAAGACGAACACTCAGAGAAAAACCAGAGGTGGAAAATAACAAAAAAAAGAAAGAGAGGAAAAGAAGAATTTCAGAACAGAGAAGAGCGAAGACCCCTCCCCCAACCTTTACTGGCCGCGGGGCAGTGCGCCAAGCCGCCGGCCAGCCGGCCCGGCAGGGGCTGCCGGAGCCACAGAGACACAGGGGGCTGCTTGCAGATCACCAGGTACCGGATTGCAGAACAGCGGATCGCCAGGAACAGAGAAACCTACCAGCCGGGAGTCTCCAGGGGGATCCCACCCCACCCATCACTCTCCACCGGAGCGGAGAGGCTCCATCCCGCCAAAGCCGCCCGGCACCAGCAGCGCCACAAAGGGACCTGTCCGCAGACCACCTGCCCAATCGCGATCGCAACGACCCGGCGGGGGGCCGCCCAACCCAGCCCGCAACCACCCCAACTGAACTCGGACTGCAACAACAACTGACGGACTGCAATAACAACTGACGGACTGCAATAACAACTGACGGCCTACAGGGTGAGTACCCATCAGGGGACAGGGAATCCATCAAGGGAGACCAGAGCTGGAGGGAATCCCCAGACCCTGACCTAGACTCCCTACCCCAACACCCGGACCACAGGACCCACTAAAACTGGGAACTGTTCGAGAGCTCCACCAGCCGGTGGAGCACACTCTGCTGGCCAGGCCAGAGCAAGAGCGCCCCTGGAAGGGAGCTTAAATGCTCAAGCCAGGAACAGTGCCCCTGGGTCAAGACTACCAACAGTAGAAGAAATTTGAACTGTGTCCTCCAGGCTGCATAACCAAGGTGGTATACACATTAGCACAGGCCTAACGAGCGCGCTCCAGGCTGGGGCCGGAACCAGGCCAGGGGACCGGAGCCTGAACAAAGCAAAAAGGGTCAGAAGTGGGGCTGTGGCTCAAATGGTAGGGTGCCAGCCCTGAGCTGAAGAGCTGAGGGACAGCACCCAAACCTAGAGTTCAAGCCCACAACCAGCCCAAAACAAACAAACAAAAACACATCAGGAGCCCATAGCAGACTCCAGTATTTGGGAGAGTGCATCCAGAGCATCTGATCTTCCCAAGCGCACCCGCAGGAGCAAACACAAGCAGTCTAGGCTGCTCAACCCTTCCAAAGGCGGGAATTGCTACAGCAGAGAGCTGAGAATCCTAAGTGAATAGCAGCTGGAAATAGGCTCCCAACAGAATCCAGATCAGGCACAGACTCTCTCTACCAATACAGAATCAGCAACCAAGCAAAGACAGACACACCAAAACAAGATTGAAGAGCAGTCTCCTGAACCCCCATGCGAAAATCACAGAGAAAAATCACAAGGTTTACCACTACCCAGGACAGCAAGCTCACCTCAAAAGCCAGCAGCCACGCAGGGGAGAGCCCCAGTGGGAGCAAAGCAGGAATGGAAGACAAAAACTACATCCAAGGGTTGCTGGAGGCAATGACTCAGGAAATAAAGCGAGAAATGGATCAGAAATTGAAAGAGCACAAGGATGAACTATCAAAAGATATACAGGATATCAAACAAAAATTGGATGCAAAAATAGAAGCTGCACAAACCTCAGTAAGAAGTGAGATCAGTACTCTGAGAACCAACATTGAATCCATAAAGGGATCCATTTCCACCATGCAAACCACAATAGAAGCCACGGTCAACAGAGTGAATGAAATGGAAGGTAGAGTGTCAGATACAGAAGACAGAATACACCAACTGGACCAAAAAGTGACAGATATGGAAAAATCACTCAAATTAAACCAAAGGGAAATTCAAGAGCAAGCAGATAATGCTAAAAAATTTAACCTTCGCATAATCGGAGTGGACGAAGGTGAGGAATTCCAGAGCAAGGGAATGCAACACCTATTTAACAAGATAGTCAATGAAAATTTTCCCCACCTCAAAAACGACCATCTTAACTACATCACAAAAGCTTATCGAACACCCAACAAGCAAGATCCCAGGAGAAACACTTCTAGGCACATAATAGTAACAATGATGGATCTGAATAATAAGGAAACAATCCTGCATGCAGCAAAAATGAAGAAGGAGCTATACTACAACGGGAAAAAAATTAGAATCACTGCAGATCTCTCCACACAAACAATGAATGCAAGAAAAGCCTGGGAAAGCACCATACGAGCCCTGAGAGCCAATAACTGCCAACCCAGACTGATATACCCGGCAAAGCTAGCATTCACATTCGATGGAGAACTGAAAACTTTTAATAGCAAAGAAAAACTAAATGAATACATAAACATTAAGCCAGCATTACAAAGAATTCTAAGAGGGGGGACACAACCTGAAGAAAGCAACCAGGAACTGGGACCTGCCCCAAACAGGCATTACTCAAAGTCTAACTGAGCAAGCACAGGAGGAAAGGAAAGAAGAAAAACTTAGGAAAACGGAATGGCAGGGACAACAATGCATCTCTCTATACTTTCTCTTAATATAAATGGGCTGAATTCGCCAATTAAAAGAAAACGAACTGAGGACTGGATCAGAAAACAAGACCCATCCATCTGTTGCCTTCAGGAGACCCACCTCTCAGCCAAACATACAAACAAACTCAGAGTGAAGGGGTGGAAAAGGATCTACCAATCAAATTCCCCCAATAAGAAAGCAGGTGTAGCTATCCTGATATCTGACAAAATAAACTTTTCATTAAAATCAGTACAGAAAGACAAGGACGGACACTACATATTAATAAAGGGAACAATCCAAGAGGAGGATATAACCATCATCAACTTATATGCCCCAAATATCGGTGCACCCAGATATGTTAAACAAATGCTCTCAAACTTACAGAATAAAATAGATCCCAATACGATAATACTAGGAGACTTTAACACGCCACTCTCACCAAAGGACAGGTCTACCAACCAGAGGATCGGTAAAGAAGCTACCGAATTAAGTGAGGCCATACTTCAAGCGGAATTAACTGACATCTACCGAGTATTTCACCCTAAAACAACACAGTACACATTCTTCTCAGCAGCTCATGGAACTTTCTCCAAAATAGACCATATCATAGTTCATTCAAGGAACTTAAGCAAATACAAAGGGATCGACATAATCCCCTGTATCCTATCTGACCACAGTGGAATCAAGCTAGCTCTCAATAACAAAGCATACCGCAGAAATTTCTCTAATACATGGAAATTGAACAGCACACTCCTTAACAAGGCCTGGGTAACAGAAGAGATCAGAGAAGAAATAAAGCATTTCCTAGAACTCAATGAAAATGAAAACACCTCACAAAGAAACTTGTGGGACACAGCAAAAGCAGTCCTGAGGGGCAAATTTATTGCCCTCAGTGCCCACATCAAGAGAATGGAGACAGACCAAGTAAATAATCTCATGTTGCAACTAAAACAGCTAGAAAAACAAGAAAAAATGGGACCTAAAGCTACTAGACGAAGCCAGATAACCAAATTGAGAGCAGAGATTAACCAATTAGAAAATTAGAAAACCATAACCAAAATAAACGAAACAAAAAGCTGGTTCTTTGAAAAAATAAACAAAATTGATGGCCCGTTGGCAAGATTAATTAAAAAAAGAAGAGAGGAAACCCATATTAATAGGATTAGGGATGCCACGGGAAACATCACAACACGTACCCAAGATATCCAAACAATTCTAACAGACTACTTTCAAAAGCTATACTCTCTAAAGGAAGAAAATCTGGCGGAAATGGATGCATTTTTAGAGAAATACAAGTTACCCAAACTGAGCAAAGAAGAAGTTAACCAATTAAATAAGCCAATATCCTATAATGAGATACAGGAAGCTATCAAAAGTCTTCCAACAAAAAAAAGCCCAGGACCAGATGGATTCACAGCAGAATTCTATAAGACCTTTAAAGAAGAACTAATACCCATACTCCTCAAGCTCTTCAGAGAAACAGAGAAGGAGGGAGCTATCCCAAACTCATTCTACGAAGCCAATATCACACTCATCCCCAAACCAGGCAAAGACCCAACCAAAAAGGAGAATTACAGGCCAATCTCCTTGATGAACACAGATGCAAAGATCCTTAACAAGATTCTAGCTAACAGAATCCAGAAACACATAAAAAAAATAATACACTATGATCAGGTAGGCTTCATCCCAGAGACACAGGGATGGTTTAACATACGTAAGTCAATAAATGTAATCCAGCATATCAACAGAGCCAAGGTCAAGAATCACATGATTATCGCCACAGATGCAGAAAAGGCCTTTGATAAAATTCAACATTCATTCATGCTAAAAGCTCTGGAGAAAATAGGAATAGAAGGAACATTTCTAAAAACAATAAAAGCCATTTATGACAGACCAATAGCCAATATTATACTTAATGGGGAAAAGCTACAACCAATCCTCCTAAAAACAGGAACAAGGCAAGGATGTCCACTGTCTCCACTCCTCTTCAACATAGTCCTAGAACCCTTAGCCAGGGCAATAAGGCAAGAAAAAGACATTAAAGGGATCCGCATAGGGAAAGAAGAAGTAAAACTGTCCCTTTTTGCAGACGACATGATACTATACCTCCACGATCCCAAAAACTCCATCCCCAAACTTTTAGAAATCATAAGTCACTTCGGCAAAATAGCAGGATACAAAATAAACCCACAAAAATCAGTTGCCTTCCTATACACTGATAACGCACAGGAAGAGAGGGAAATAAAGGGAGCAACCCCATTCACAATAACCTCCCAAAAAATAAAATATTTAGGAATTAACCTAACCAAAGATGTAAAAGAACTATTTAATAAGAACTATAAAAAGTTAAAGAAAGAAATTGCAGAAGACACTAGGAAATGGAAAGACCTCCCATGCTCCTGGATAGGCCGACTTAATATAGTAAAGATGGTGATACTTCCAAAACTAATATACAAATTCAATGCAATTCCTATTAAAATCCCAATGACGTACATCACTGAAATACAGAAAACAGTCCAAAAATTTATATGGAACAACAAAAGACCTAGAATAGCCAAAACAATTCTAGGGGATAAAGACAATATGGGAGGGCTATCCATGCCGAACTTCAAACTCTACTACAGAGCTATGATCACAAAGACAGCATGGTACTGGCACAAAAACAGACCCGAAGACCAATGGAACAGAATAGAACATCCAGATATAAATCCACAGGCCTACAGCCAGCTGATATTCGACAAAGGAGCCAAAGACATACAATGGAAGAAACACAGCCTCTTCAACCGCTGGTGCTGGGAAAACTGGGCAGCCACATGCAGAAAACTAAAAGTGGACCCCAGCCTATCACCATGCACCAACATCAACTCAAAATGGATTAAAGACCTTAACATTAAACCTGAATCTCTGAAACTACTACAGGACAGAGTAGGAGAGACACTTGAACTAATAGGCACAGGAAGGAACTTCCTGAACAGAGTCCCAGGGTCACAACAAGTTGGAGAGAGACTCGACAAATGGGACTACCTTAAAATAAAAAGCTTCTGCACAGCTAAATCTATCGCAACTAAGCTAGAAAGACAACCAACTAATTGGGAAAAAATATTTACCAGCAATATATCAGACAAGGGGTTAACATCCTGTATATACAGGGAACTCAAGAAACTAATCCCTCCCAAACCTAACAAACCAATTACTAAATGGGCAAGGGAACTAAAGAGGGACTTCTCAAATGAAGAAATAAAAATGGCAATGAAACACATGAGGAAATGTTCATCATCCCTGGTGGTGAAGGAAATGCAAATAAAGACAACCCTGAGATACCACCTTACCCCAGTCAGAATGTCCCACATCCACAAATCAGCCAACGACAAATGCTGGAGGGGATGTGGAGAAAGAGGAACCCTATTACACTGCTGGTGGGAATGTACACTTATACAACCACTATGGAAAGCAGTCTGGAGGGTCCTTAGAAAGCTAAAGATTGATCTCCCTTACGACCCAGTCATACCACTTCTAGGCATCTACCCTGAACAACAGGAACCAATATACAAGGACACGTGCACCTCCATGTTTATTGCAGCACTGTTCGCAATAGCTAGGATATGGAAACAACCTAGGTGCCCCACCACAGATGAATGGATCCAAAAATTGTGGTATCTATACACAATGGAATATTATGCAGCCATTAGAAATGACAAAATAATGGCATTTGCAGGGAAATGGATGGAGCTAGAAGGAATCATGTTGAGCGAGGTAAGCCAAGAACGAAGAGACAAACGGTACATGGTCTCCCTCATAAGTGGATGCTAAATCCAAAAGGTTAGGTGATACGACAAAACTAACAGGACTTAAGAAACAAAGAACTCCCGCTCATCTGGTTGAACCACTACTAAATATCCTCATGCTGCTGATCACAAATATGGTATATAACATGTGAACACTGTTATATATTACAGACTGTGGTAGACAATTTGCTCCAGGGAAGTTAGAATGAACTTGTGACTTTGAAATTATGTAATCATTTAATCACAATCAAAAAAAAAAAAAAAGAACCTCGGGGAAGGGAGGGAGGGAGGGGATGGTAGGGGGAAAACAATGGAGGGGGTAACAATGTTCAAGAGGAAGTGTACTCATAACCTCACTCATGTAACTGTAACCCTCTGTATAGTAGCTTTACAATAAAAAAAAAAAAAAAAGAAAAAAAAAAAAAAAAAAAAAAACAAGCTAGAGCCGGGCGCTGGTGGCTCACGCCTGCAATACTAGCTATTCAGGAGGCTGAGGTCTGAGGATCATGGTTCAAAGCCAGCCCAGGCAAGAAAGTCTATGAGACTCTTAACTCCAATAAACCACTAGAAAACCAGAAGTGGCGCTGTGGCACTAGCCTAGAGCTGAAGAGCTGACCGACAGCGCTCAGGCCCAGAATTCAAGCCCCACAACTGACAAAAAAAAAAAAAAAAAAGCTGGAGGGGCTGGGAATGTGGCAGTAGCGTGCTTACCTAACATGCGTGAACCCCTGGGTTCTATTCATCACTACTACATAAACAGAAAAAAAAAAAAGCCAGAATGGCATTGTGGCTCAAGTGATAGAGTGCTAGCCTTGAGCAAAAGAAGCTCAGGGACAGTGCCCACACCTGGCAAAAAAAATAAAAGAAAGAAAGAAAAGAAAAACACTAAAAAAAAACCACCCAGCTACCAGATTTTTATTCTTCTCTGAAAATTTAAAAGAGATTTTCAGCCGGGCACTGGTGGCTCACGCCTGTAATCCTAGCTACTCAGGAGGCTGAGATCTGAGAATCACAGTTCAAAGCCAGCCTGGGCAGGAGAGACCGTGAGACTCCTGTCTCCGATAAACCACAAGAAAACCGGAAGTGGCGCTGTAGCTCAAGTGATAGAGTGCTTGCCTTGGGCTGAAGAGCTGAGGGACAGCACCCAGACCCAGAGTTCAAGCCCCACGACCGACAAAAAAAATAAATAAAAACAAAAAAGAAAACAGATTTTCTTTTCAATTCTCTGGACACTTTTTTTTTTTTAAAGAAAAGACTTAGCTGGGTGCTAGTGGCTCACATCTGAAATCCTACTCACGATACTCAGGAGGCTGGGATCTGAGGATCACGGTTTGAAGCGTGGCAGGAAAGTCTGTGAGACACTCTTATCTCCAATTAATTACAGAAAAAGCCAGAAGTAGTGCTGTAGCTCAAGTGATAGAATGCTAGTCTTGAACAGAAGGAGCTTAGAGATAGCACCCAAGCCTAGGGTTCAAGGCCCAGACATGCAAAAAAAAAAAAAAAAGTAAATTAAAGATTTTTAATTTGTATATAGTTTGTTCTTAGTTATTTTGTGTATCAGTTGAAGTCTTGGATTCAGGGGCTGGGCACTGTGGTTAAGGCCAGCATTCTACCATTGCAGCCACAGTTTCATTTCTAGTTGATAGTGAGATAACAGTCTAAAGGACTTTCTTGTCCAGGCTGGCTTTGAACTGTGATCCTCATATCTCAACCTCCTGAGTAGCTAAGATTACAGGACATGAGCCACCAGTGCCCGGGTAGGTTTAGTCTTTCTTATGCTGAAATTATTTTTCTGGTAAAAGATTATTGAAATTATAACCATTTTTATTGACAGTATTGCAGTAATAATTTTTTGTTTATTTTAGATGCTGTTAGAGAAGTTTGTTGAAGAATGTAGGTTTCCTCCAGTGCCAGATGCTGTTTGTTGTTATCAGAAGTGCCATGGCTATTCCAAAATCCAGATATACATAACTGATCCAGACTTCAAGGTAAATAGTGAATATATAATGGACATTAACTGGCAAAATTGTGCTTTAAGATGTAAGGGTAGGGTAAGTTCTGTACTTAAAGGCACCCAAGTCCTCTGGCTCACTAGCAGTTTTATGTTTATTGCCCTGGACTTAGCATTCACATGGAGATCTAGAACTACTGGGGTAGTGAGTGAAGTGAGAAGATAGGTCACTGAATGACCCCTAAAAGACCGTACTTGAGACAAAGTCTGGCTTTTGAATAAATGGTTACAGTACTGGTTTATCCATGAAGCTAATCGCCGCACCATATCTCTAGTTGATCAGATGAAGTAATGTTTGTATAATACGTGATACGAGGTAAAGGGGAGCATACTCTCCACTGTACAAATGTTTAGTATATCTGGGACTAAGTATTTGGGGTACAAAAGTATTATGCTCCCCTCCATGAGATGTTACATATGCAGATAAATTCAGCATCTCTTTCTCTGTCTTGGTATATATGCCATGAGTGAATATGTGCCGAGGCATTTGTAAAATATGCATTGTTTTTGAAACACAGGGTTTTATACGAATCAGCTGTTGCCAGTACTGTAAAATAGAGTTTCATATGAACTGCTGGAAGAAGTTAAAAACAACTACCTTTAATGATAAAATTGACAAGGTAAGGCATATTGAATTCTCTGGATGTTTTACTATGTTAATTGTCCTTCATTTTGCTTTCCTCTACAAATCTTCAGAAAAGTCTTAAGGAAATATAAATTACTTAACAAGCATTCACAATATGTTTAGTTATTTGTGTTTTTTTTGCTGGTCCTAGGTCTTGAACTCAGAGCCTGGGCACTGTCCCTGAGCCTCTCTGTGCTCAAGGCTAGTGCTCTACCACTTGCAACACTGTCCCGCTTCCAGGTATTGCTACTTATGTGGTCCTGAGGAATGCAACCCAGGGCTTCATGCATGTGAGGCAAGCACTCTACCACGGAGCCACCTTCCCAGCCCTAGAAAAATTTTAGATAGCTTTAAGCATTAAACAAAAAAACCATGTTGCTTTTTTGTTTGGCAGTGCTGTGGTTTGCACTTGGGGCATTGTGCTGCAGTCACACCCGGTGCCCTTTTGTACTTTATTTACTTTTAGGATAAGGTTTTACAGTTTCTCCTGACTGGTCTAAGACCTCGACCCTTCTACCTGTGTCTTCCACATGGCTGGGAATATAGGCCCCATGCCGTCACACCTGGCTGGGAGTACAGGCCCCATGCCGTCACACCTGGCTGGGAGTCCAGGCCCCATGTCGTCCCACCTGGCTGGGAGTACAGGCCTCATGTCGTCCCACCTGACTGGGAGTACAGGCCTCATGTCATCCCACCTGACTGGGAGTACAGGCCTCATGTTCCCACCTGACTGGGAGTACAGGCCTCATGCCATCCCACCTGACTGGGAGTACAGGCCTCATGCTGTCACACCTGACTGGGAGAATAGGCCTCATGTTCCCACCTGACTGGAGAATAGGCCTCATGTTGTCCCACCTGGCTGGGAGTACAGGCCTCATGCTATCACACCTGGCTGGGAGTACAGGCCTCATGTCGTCCCACCTGACTGGGAGTACAGGCCCCATGCCGTCACACCTGGCTGGGAGTACAGGCCCCATGCCGTCACACCTGACTGGGAGTATAGGCCTCATGTCGTCCCACCTGGCTGGGAGTACAGGCCTCATGTCATCCCACCTGACTGGGAGTACAGGCCTCATGTTCCCACCTGACTGGGAGTGCAGGCCTCATGCCATCCCACCTGACTGGGAGTACAGGCCTCATGCTGTCACACCTGACTGGGAGAATAGGCCTCATGTTCCCACCTGACTGGAGAATAGGCCTCATGTCGTCCCACCTGGCTGGGAGTACAGGCCTCATGCTATCACACCTGGCTGGGAGTATAGGCCTCATGTCGTCCCACCTGACTGGGAGTACAGGCCCCATGCCGTCACACCTGGCTGGGAGTACAGGCCCCATGCCATCACACCTGGCTGGGAGTACAGGCCCCATGCCATCACACCTGGCTGGGAGTACAGGCCCCATGCCATCACACCTGGCTGGGAGTACAGGCCCCATGCTGTCACACCTGGCTGGGAGTACAGGCCTCATGCTGTCACACCTGGCTGGGAGTATAGGCCTCATGCTGTCACACCTGGCTGGGAGTACAGGCCTCATGCTGTCACACCTGGCTGAGAGTATAGGCCTCATGCTATCCCACCTGACTGGGATTATAGGCCTCATGCTGTCACATCTGACTGGGAGTATAGGCCTCATGCAGTCATACCTGGCTGGGAGTACAGGCCTCATGCCATTACTCTGGCTAAAGAATTTGTGGGCAACAACCATAGAAGCCTTTTATACATTGCTTAACTATCAGTTGTTTTATGATTTTTAGGATCAACAATAAAAATATTAAATACATGACTTTAAAATACATACCATTTTAGTCAGATTTGGTGGTGGTGGTGGTTGTGGGTCCTTAACTCTGGGCCTGGGCGTTGTCCCTCATCTCTTCAGCTCAAGGCTAGTGCTGTACTTCTTGAGCCACAGCGCCACTTCTGATTTTCTGAGTGGTTTATTGGCATTAAGAGTCTCACATACTTTCTTGCCCTGGCTGCCTTTGAACTGTGATCCTCAGATTTCAGCCTCCCTAGTAGCTAGGATTACAGGGTGAGCCACTGGTACCCAGCTAGTCAGATTTTTTTAATCATTAGGAAAACGTTGATATAGAATTAATGTCTCAAAATTTTTATTTTCTACCAGAATTTGATAAGATAAAATGAACTAAGAAATTAACTTTAATTTTATCTTTGTTAATGGTGAGTTTTCTTATACCAAACGCTTTGAGACACAGTAGTATCATCCCTAATACTATTTGTGTGAAATACTATTTGCACTTGAAACAAAATTGGAAACCATTAATCAGTCAAGAGAAAATGACAAGGATTCCAGAGGCATTTGTAATAAACTGACTCATAATACTTAAAATAGTGCTCTATATGAACAGATTATAAAACATCTGAAATTAGCTACCAAATAATATGACAGTTTGATATCACTTTGTGTTCTTTTGTATGTCACCTATTATCTTACAATGTTTACCTTAAAGGCCACTTCCTGTTCATTTTTTTTGTGTGGGGAAAATGTGTTATTTTCAGGCTGATAACTTGGTATGAATTTTGTCTTTTAAATGCATATGTATCCCACTGAGTGCTAAAATAAACACATAAACAGTTAAAAATACTTTGAAAGAAGGCACAATTTTATTATCTACGTGAGTTTATAAAATTTATTTCTGTTTTGTATTTATTAAACTACATAAACCTATATACACATAATTTTTATTGGTAAAAAATGAAATTTTTGTGTTAGATATTTTAGCAGTAGGAATTATTCACTTGACAGGAACAAATTTTCACATAGTTAGCTAGAGATAGAATGCTATCTCCAAAAGCTAGCACCATTGTCACTTCTGCTATGCCTGTCTTAATTTGAATTTCTCTTGCCATCTACTTTCTCTTCACGGCTTTATTCTCACAGTCAGAAATATCCTCGAATAATTGGTCAGCATGACTAAGATGCTAAAGTAAGGTACAGCCCAGATATCTTTTGGTTTACAAAGAGAGCTTTATTGTTTGATTATATTATTTGTGCTGAAGTTTTCAGTTATTGTGCACAGTTAAGCTGTGGCAGCTGTGTTCTTTGTGGCCATGGCCTTGTTTCTGAATCCTAGTTGAAGAGTGGCCCTTTTCTGGAACATGTTGCCATATCAGAAGGAAAAGGGCTGTGGCCAGCCCTCTGCTTAAGTGTTCCATATTTCATGGCAGTCTCCCTTGTCTCAACTAGAGCAAGTTCTCCCACACCTAGAGGTGTAGTCTCCCTTCTGGAGCTTTGACGATCATGTGGGAGTGAACAGGACTTCCAGAGCTCCCCTAAAGGGTGTTCTATGCTATCTTTTGACTGTTCTTGGTGATTAAATGGTATACAGGCTGGATGTAAGCAGCTCACACTTGTAATCCTAGCAGCTCAGGAGACTGAGATCTGAGAATCATGGTTTAAATCCAGCCCAGGCAAGAAAGTCCATGAGACCCTTATCTCTAATTAACCACCAGGAAACCAGAAATGGAGCTGAGGTTCAAAGTAGTAGAGTGCTAGCCTTGAGCAAAAGAGCTCAGGGACATCACCCAGGCTCTGAGTCCAAGCCACATAAACAAACAAAAAAAGTATACACATACAGATCTTTCCACTCTGTTAACTTTCTCTTTCAAATCAAATAGGATTTTCTGCAAGGCATCTGTCTTACACCTGACTGTGAAGGAACTATCTCTAAAATTATCATCTTCAGCAGTGGTGGTCAAGTAAAATGTGAAGTAAGTATTTAATAATGGGGAAACTTCATTGAGATAACCGAAATGTTTATACCATGTAAAATATGTTCTCACTTTTTAGAAGTTGTGTCATTTGGACCTTGTCTTTTCCAGGTTTAAAAAAAAAAAAAACCACCAAGTTAAATTGTTTAAGAAAATACAGGAAACATTAGGATACACATTGTAGTGAAGTATTATTATCTTCTTTTAATTCCTAATAAGAGAGACTATTTACATTTCCATTTTACTATTTTTATTTTTTGATCATTTTTCTTAACCTTTAATAAGAGAAAGAGACTTTTTACATTTCAGTTTTATTATTTTTATTCTTGATAATTTTAATCCTCTGCAAAGTTGGGAATGGAAGGGCAGTTCTTAGAGTGGGAGTACTTTAACTTCACTACCTGGGTGACAGGAGTATATAATTGTGATAATATTTATAGCTTATTGGATCTTCAGCTTTTAATTTTTAAGAACACCTTCCTAAAAGTGTGTCTACTCTTGTTCCTCTTTTCAGTATATTATTTGTTAAAGCTTTCTGGGCTTTTGTCTGGGTCAGAACATCATCACTGTTGTCTGTCAGACTGAGCATTGTGTGTGTTCCTGAAATACTTGTTACTTGTGGTTTTGTGCTTTATGTCATGGGAATATGAGACAAATTTGGATGTCTTTGTTTTATTTGAAGTTTGAACACAAGGTCACAAAAGAAAAAGTTCCTCCAAGACCTATTCTGAAACAGAAATGTTCCAGGTAAGATTTTTTTTTCACAATAGTAGTTGTATGATGCCTCTTTAAATATAATGCTATTTAAATATAAATTTCTAAATTACACTTTTTAAAATTGTCTGTACACCCTTATATCCAAGTATTTATTTTAAATGAATTTTATGGATATTGAATGATGAAATATAAAAATGTGATTTAGAGTTATTTAGTTGTTGTGTTTATTAGTAATATTACAACATTTCATGTTTTGAATAATCAATTTGACACTTGGGGGAAAATTACATATTTATCTCAGTTGTTTCAACTTTAATTACAAAAACCTTATTTTCTATTTAATTCTCTTTCACAAATATCTTGAACCAGTGACTATCTCTTAACTTGATATACTCAAGGTACTGTCTAAATTATTCACTCTCTGTATCTTTTTGTTCAGATCAAATAATTCCAATCTTTAAAAAAAAATTTGGTCTTGGGCTGGGAAGGCAGCTCAGTGGTAGAGCGCTTGCCTTGCATGCATGAGGCCCTGGGTTCGATTCCCGAGCACCATATAAGCAAAAGAAAAAAAGCCGGAAGTGGTGCTGTGGCTCAAGTGGTAGAGTGCTAGCCTTGAGCTGAAGAGCTGAAGGACAGCACCCAGGCCCAGAGTTCAGGCTCCACAACCGGACCCAAAAAAAAAAAAATTGGTCCTGTTTCTTGTTTTTCATTCTACAAAGTGCATTTTCTTTTGAGGGAAGAATATCAGTTGTGACTAAGCAAAAGAAAAGTACAGAATTATTTGTTGGAAAGAATTCACTATATTCCTATCAATCAAATCCCCGTATTGTGGGGGTCAATACTGGGAAAATAGTGTTTTTTTATGAAGAGTAATTTGCTCTATTCCTATGTACCTTGTGTTGTAATTTATATACATGGAAATAACATCTGTGCAATTTGTATATTATATCCTTAATTATAAGTTACTTGATCACTGAGATTTTTGTTTTCATGAAACAAGTACCCCATGTTGAACAGAATATATCAGATTCTAACTAAAAAGCAAAATGTCTAACCTGTTGTTTAGAGAATGGTTTCTCCAATAAGCAGAGGAAAATAGTTTGTTAAACTTTATTGTGTCAGATAAATTACCACTAATTGTAAATATTTATCAGCCTAGAGAAGCTAAGACTGAAAGAAGACAAAAAATTGAAGAGAAAAATCCAAAAACAAGAGGCAAAAAAATTAGCACAAGAAAGACTGGAAGAAGACTTAAGAGAAAGTAATCCACCTAAAAATGAAGAGCAGAAAGGTATGCAAGTCCAAGGCATAAAAATAGTATAGGGCTGGGAATGTGGCTTAGTAGTAGTACAGTGCTTGCTTAGCATTCATAAAGCCATGGATTCAATTCCTCAGTACCATATAAACAGAAAAAGCCAGAAGTGGGGCTATGGTTCAAATGGTAGAATGCTAGCCTTGAGCAAAAAAAGCTCAAGGACAGTGCCCAGGGTTTGAAGTCAAGCCCCAGGACGGGCACACAAAGAAATTAAAAGAATGGTATATACTTGTTCACAAGTACAGATATGAATATTTGTCTTATAAGCTGTCTTGTTAATCAGTACTGAATTGAAATACAGATTTCAGTTATCTTAATACTATATTTTATTACTCTAAAGAAAGCAAATAAGAGCTGGGTGCTCGTGGCTCACGCCTGTAATCCTAGCTACTCAGGAGGCTGAGATCTGAGGATCGTAGTTCAAAGCCAGCCCGGGCAGGAAAGTCTGTGAGACTCTTATTTCCAATAAACCACTAGAAAGCTGGAAGTGGCTCTGTGGCTCAAGTGGTAGAGCGCTCACCATGAGCTGAAGAGCACAGGGACAGCACTCAGGCCCAGAGTTCAAGCCCCACAACCGACCAAAAAAAAAAAAAAAAAAGCATAAGTTGGTACAACGAATACTGGTTTTATAAGCAGCATACAATAATATACATGCTGTCCTACTACCAGCTCGAGGCGGATTATCTGTTAACTTCTTCAAAGTGAAGATGGACATAATCTTCTGACTTCCATATTATTTGACAGTGTCATTCCTTCTACTATCTGGATTTAACTTCCAACATGTTGAACTGTTAGCTACTCATTATCTGAAATAATATTGTGTTCAAATACAGAGGCAGCTCATAGAGTTTATATAACCCAGCTTTCTGGCTTGTTTATCTCGTTATTCCCTGATTTAGCACAGCAATTTTTACAGGCAATTTCACTGTTCTCATGTACAAGTTGGCCAGTATGTTTTCAGTTTGAGTTTGAGTTTTCCCCATTTTCCACTATTGTGGGTCGGCTCCCAGAATGAAGTCTTTTCCCCTTTATTTTTCATTCCAACAGTGTTTCATAAATCAATCACAATTTTATTTCCTAGTGAAAACATTTTCAGTGACTTACTAACTTTGCCTTCAAAGGACTAAATATGTATTGAGACTGAGGGGTGCCAAGGGAATAGGTTTCAAATATTACTTCTTGAGTTATAGCAAATGAAGGGCAGAAGGTACTCACATTTTATTGGTGTTAAATGTGAACTTCCATGGGTTTTTTTTTTTTTTGTTTTTTGTTTTGCCAGTTGTAGGGCCTGAACTCTGGGCCTGGGCGCTGTCCCTCAGCTCTTCAGCTCAAGGCTAGTGCTCTACCACTTGAGCCACAGAGCCACTTCCGGCTTTTTCTGGTATGTGGTGCTGAGGAATCGAACCCAGGGCCTCATGCATGCAAGGCAAGCACTTTACCACTGAGCCACCTTCCCAGCCCAGGGTTTTTTTTTTTTGAGAGGTATTGGTAAATATATTCCTAATTTTTATTTGGGGGGGGGGGGTGGTCTGGTCATGGGGCCTGAACTCTGGGCCTGGGCGCTGTCCCTCAGCTCTTCAGCTCAAGGCTAGCGCTCTACCACTTGATCCACAGCGCCACTTCCGACTTTTTTCTTTTTCCTTATGTGGTGCTGAGGAATCGAACCCAGGGCCTCAGGCATGCAAGGCAAGCGCTCTACCATGAGCTACCTTCCCAGCCCCAATATATTCCTAATTTAAAGAAAGAACTCATCTGCCATGATTTATTATGTAACATTACATTGTTTATAGGTTGGAATTTTTGTCTGTTCTGTATTTCTTTTAATTGCTTTGTTTCTTGTTTTTAGAAACCACGGACAATGTTCAGAACTGTCAGTTCCTTGATGACAGAATTCTTCAGTGCATAAAGCAGTATGCTGACAAGATTAAATCTGGTGTATTGAATACTTCCAAGCTTCTCAAAGAATTGCTTTCATGGAAAGTTCTGAGCACAGAAGACTATACAACATGTTTTTCTAGCAGAAATTTTCTCAATGAAGCAGTAGACTATGTAATTCGTCACTTGATTCAAGAAAAAAATAGAGTAAAAACAAGAATATTTCTGCATGTTTTGAGTGAGCTTAAAGAAGTGGAGCCCAAATTAGCAACCTGGCTCCAGAAGCTTAATAGTTTTGGTAAGTCCTCTTATACTCCAAAGAGATGTAATTTAGAAAGGAGAGACTCTGAATACTTTTTCATATTCCTGTTTAACCATGTATGACTTTTTAAATGACAACTACACATTTGTATTAATAATAAATGCTACTCTATAATCCTTGCTACTTAAGAGGTTGAGATCAGAGGATTATAGTTCAAGCCAGCTTAGGGAGGAAAGGCCATGGGACTCTTCAGTTAACCACCCAAAAGCAGAAGTAGAGCTGTAACTCACGTAGTAGAATGAGAGCCTTGATGAAAAAGCTAAGGCACAGTGTCCAGGTCCTGGGTCAAGCCCCAGCATGCACATACACACAAGGTAATACTGCTTTCCCATACACACACATCATTTTTAGATTATTTTATAGATATGTAATTACTATTTTAATTTATTTTATTTATTTTTCACTTTTTGCATGATAATTTGCACTTGCTGGGCCTCTGCTGTACTACTTGAGCTATACATCCAGCCCTTTTTTATGTGTTATTTTTCTGTCAGGGTCTTGTATTTTTGCCCAGAGCTGGTCCAGAACTTCAGTCATCTTACCTCTAACTTGCCTGTACCTGGAAGTGTTCTGATATACTCTGCTTTCTGGTAGAGATAAAGTCTTGGTAATTTTGCCCAGGTTAGCCTCGAACTTCAATCTTTCTGATCTCTACCTCATGAGTATCTGGTATTACAGGTGTCAGCCATTTACACCCAGCCCTGCCTGTTTTTGTGTTTGTCTTATGTTTTTTTGTGCTGTTTTTTTGGTTGGTCTTGAGGCTTGAACTCTGGGCCTGGGCGCTGTCCATCAGCTCTTCAGCTGAAGACAAGCACTCTACCACTTGAGCCACAGCGCCACTTCTGATTTTCTGGTGATTAATTGGAGATAAGAGTCTCACGGACTTTCCTGCCTGGGCTGGCTTTGAACGGTGATCCTCAGATCTCAGCCTCATGAGCAGCTAGGATTACAAGCCTGAGCCAACAGCATCTGGTTTTAAGAGACATTTGGCTGTACAATTCCGGTATTCCAAGGAAGAAGCTGTTCAGTTTATTGTTAGAGACAAAGCAAGATGGCAAGCTTGTTATGTCTAGAAAGCTAAATGCCTTTGCTTAGAGCGTTGATTTCCATGGGTTTCTGGTCTCAGCAAATTACTCTTACGAGATAAGATTGTTACTAGTTTCTTTCTTGGTATAAAATACATACAGAAAAGCATGCTAAAATCTTGTTAGTCTTATTAATTGGAATTATAAATGATTATAAATTAATGAAAAGCTATTTTTATATTGAAATGTATTTAATATAATATATTCATTTCCTAAGTATAAAACTGCAATGTAAAAGTTTTTAGTCCACCTTATTCAACTAATACATAACAATTCTATGTAACTTGAGATTAGGGATGAGAGGGGGAAAATGGGGAAACAAATGAAGGGGTAATATTGACTAAGAAGCATTGTACTCATAACATTACTTAGTGTAATTGTAACCCCTTTGTACAACTACTTAATTATAAACATTTTAAAAAGAATTATGATTAGCATGTCAGTGTTGAATAGTGTTTCTAAAATGTATAGTAGCTTGTCCAAGTCTGTTCTCAAATATTTAAATGTTTTCACTGAAAATAGAAACCAATTGTAAATGGAACCATGGTGAGTAATATGAAACGCAATGTGATTTTACTAAAGTAAGTGATTTCTCTCTTCGTGTGATTTGGGTTTTATTTTTATTGTAGGCCTAGATGCCACAGGACCGTTTTTTTCTCGATATGGAACATCTCTTAAAGAGCTTGATTTTAGCATCATGACTTTTCTCTGGAATGAGAAATATGGGCATAAACTAGCCTCTATAGAAGGAAAGAAACTCGATTACTTCTGCGAGCCAACATCATTAAAAGAAGCACGTTGTTTAATATGGCTGCTAGAAGAACACAGAGACAAGTTCCCAGCTTTGCACAGTGCTTTAGATGAATTCTTCGATATAATGGGTATGTGAACCAAGTTTTTATTTATATATGTTACATTTTTAGGAGAAAATAATCTGTGAGAGACTTAGCTCACTAACATACTTACTGTGGGAAATAATGAAAACTGATACAACTGGATTTATGATTGACAATAGTAACTCTGTGAAGAAGAAGGGTGAGAGGAAGGACTGAGGACTTCAAAGGAAGTACTCTGCACTTTGGTCCTCACAGTAGGAAAGCTGTGGAACAGGTGGAGTTCAAGGTAGAAGTGGAATGGACAGGTAAGTGTTGGGGCTTTGAGAAGTAGGGAATGTCAAGGCCTCTTTGAGTAATGGCATGGAGTCAAACCTGGCAGAACAAGGCCAGCTGGAAATCAGTTCCATAGCTTCTCTTGGACTTATTTCCTCATCATTAAATGAAATGATTTGGAGCTCACAGTCTATGTGATCCTTTTCTACTTCAAAATTGTAATATTCTTATTTTTTAATTTCTTATCTCTGATCCTATTTGTCCTGGACGGTCTCTTCTCTCACCTTTTCTTAGCATTTGTATATTGTTATGTGAGTATTACATTATTTTATATATTTTATATGTGAGCATTGTTAGGAGTTTCAAATGGTATATGTCACAGGTCAGGCTTTAAAACAACAGTGTCACATTATAAAGCTCAAATACATATAAGATTATGTCTTTGTTGCCTTGAATGTCCCTCCCCCATGGTACAACCCCTGCTTTCACTATATATGATGTTGGTATATGTGGAGGGGAAGGGAAAAAACAAATTGTTAAAACAGGGATACAGGAGGACCCATTGCAACAATGAGATGTACAAGTCGTTATGTCGAAAAATGAACTTTACAACTGGGGGTGGGGGCGGGGATGGGGAAGATACGAAGGGACAGGAAGGGGAAACAAAGCAGGAGGCTACAATGCTTGATAAGAAATGTGCTCATTATCTTACCCACGTAATTGTAACCCCTCTGTACAGTATTTTCACAATAAAAATATATTAAAAAAATAAAGCTCAAATACAGTGTAAGGAATAGTTTACTCTTATTTAGATTCTTTGTAAAGTGCTCACTTACATACAGACAGCTTTAACTTTTCAAGGCACTGTTTCCTGATGAGAAGACACGCTATTTGATAGCCTCAATTTATTGCTTTTAGTTTATTGCTGGTTGTAAGAAATGCTGTCCTGGGACTGAGCTTAAAAAACCTGATGCTTGTCTGGGTCATACAGGAAGACAACTAACAAGAGCATATCCTCCAGTCCCCTCAGTAGGCATTCTTCATTCTCTCTACTTCTTAGGCTCTGTGCCAGAAATACTCAGTACTTCTAGCTATTGCTGTGTGTCTGCTTCTAGGCATGCAGCCAGAAGCAACCTACAAATTATTGGTCATCTCAACAGGCTTTCAAGTCTGATAACACTGTTTTCCACCTCAGATCGTTACAGTTTTATCACTTTTTTTTTGGGGGGGGGGGCTGGTCGTGGGACCTGAACTCTGGGCCTGGGCACTGTCCCTCAGCTCTTCAACTCAAGGCTAGTGCTCTACCACTTGAGCCACAGCACCACTTCCGGCTTTTTCTGCTTTTATGGTGCTGAGGAATCGAACCCAGGGCCTCATGCATGCAAGGCAAGCACTCTACCACTGAGCCACCTTCCCAGCCCCTTATCACTTTCATTTAAAGTATTTTACATAATACTACACATAGAGTATATTTTATATTATATAAAATACAATGTGTTATGTATAGTATATAAAAAAAATATATATATATATATACATATATTTATATTTGATTTGAACTTAGGACCTTGTGCTTGCTAAAAGTAGCTACTACTAAACCACATTTCCAGTCTTTCTTTTTTTTTGGCATGTTTGTTACTTTTCAGGTAAAGGTTCCAATTTTTGTTGTTGTTTTTGTTGTCAGTGCTTTTAGGGCCTTCCTCAGACCTTGGTCCTCTTACCTACAGCCTCCTGCATACACATATTCACAGGCATATATAAGCACACTTAGCTTTTTGATTGAGAAAGGATCTTGCTAATCTTTTTGCGTGGCTGGCTTTGGACTGCAATCCTTCTGAACTCTGTCTCCCAGGTAGCTGGGATTACAGGCATAGTAAATTATCTTAATTAACACTGTATATCTATTTCCTAAGCAGGCAACCCTGAGATTAGTCTAGATTCTTGTTCTTTTCCCAGTTCTTAACTACTTTGTCACCAATTTAAGTAAGGCTTTTCTTTGATCTATCCTTTCTTGTCCATCCCACTTCCCTAGGCAAGACTTTAGTTATTTTCCCATTATTAGGCTTGCAGCAGCCTTCAAACTAACTTTGATCTAATCTTCCTTTTGTATTGCTGCTAGAACTCTTCTAGAACAGGCCTGAGCTCATAATTATTCTTTTCAGGAAACCTTTGCCTAGTTTTGCCTACATAATACATTCGTATCTGTCTGGGCTCACTGTCTCTCTTCCATCAGTTCTCTGACCCCACCCCCTACCTTGTGCTTTCCTCACTGCTCATATTGTGGCCCTAGTGTCCCTCTATTTCTTGGCTGCTTTCCTGAATACTTTACTCCCTGTTATTTCATTGTTATGCTTCTAATATGGGTTACAGGTATCTTCTTCCAGTAGAACATGAGTATTTTGATACCAAGGACTGTCTTGTTTGTCTCTATATTCCCATCTCCAATGTTCATGGCACCCAGAAGGCACACTCATATGCCGACTAGGTTGAAGTTGTATGGCTCTGTGTAGTTGGCTTCCCATTTAACCAATTGTTTTGCCCTTAGTTTTTCACTAAAATTGTGTCACAGCCAATTAAGGAATAGAATGTAGTCTCGCTTGTTGGCCTCATTGTAGTTTAAGGGTAGGTTATAGTCTGTAGTATGGATTTGTAAATAGTGTGTCCTTACAGAACTTCTTTTCTTCCCACAGACAGCCGCTGTACCGTATTAAGGAAACAAGACAGTGGTGAGGCACCGGTAAGCTACTTGACTAATTTAAATCTTAGATTCTAATTTGTGTTTGTCAAAGAGAGCAAGGAGGAGCCAGGCCAGTGTTTATTTACATGGCCAGGTTGCATTTCAGAACCAAATAAGGAGGGCTCTGGGTAACTAGTTCATTAGATAGTTACTGCCAATCTCTTTCTCTTAGAGTTGAAGCACGAATCAGTGCACTCTGAGGATTTAGTCTTCATAATGTTTTATAACTAATACATGTTAATACTAGAAAGAAAAAAGGAAGAATTCTTGGGGCAAGAAAAAGGTAATAGGGCTGAGATGGTGGCTCAGTGGTAGAGCGCTTGCCTTGCATGCCTGAGGCCCTAGGTTTGATTCCTCAGCACCACATAAACAAAAAGAAAAAAGCCAGAAGTGGTGCTGTGGCTCAAGTGGTAGAGCACTAGCCTTGAGCTGAAGAGCTGAGGGACAGCGCCCAGGCCCAGAGTTCAGGCCCCACGACCAAACCCAAAAAAAAAAAAAGAAAAGAAAAAAGAAAAATGTAATATTTTGCTCCAGAAGGAGAACAAAGAGACTCTGCTAGACTCATAATGAGACAAACCTATAATCCTAATTACCAAGGAGGCAGAGATCAGCAAGAACGTGGCTTAAAGTCATCCCAGGCAAATAAGTCTTTGAGATTCCATCTGTGTCTCTGGCAAACAGCCAGACTGTAAGCATGGCTCAAGTGGAGGAGCACAACAATGAGCAAACAAGTCTAGCGAGCACAATGCCGAGTTCAGGTCCTAATAGCAAAAGGTCTGATTAATGACTGGAAATAACATAAATCCTTGTTGAAAATAAGTTTTAAATATTGGGGCAGTTTAGCTTTAGTTTCAACATTGGGATCATTAAACTTTTTTCTCTTTTCTATTATGTCATGCCACTTGTGCTAGTATACTATTGAATTATTTTTACTAATTAAACTATGTATATTTAAATTATAACAAGTTTAACTTATGACTAGTTTTATGAAAGTGAATATGGTTTCTGTTCAGCTTTATAATGCTTCTATTTGAATGTTCATTGATTTTTTTTTTTCTTCCTCCATTTTTTAGTTCGGTTTTACCAAGGTTAAAAATAAAGGCAAGAAAAAGAAACCAAAAGATTCAAAGGTATGGAATATCCTCCGTGTTCATTCTTTTCTGAGTTCTCAAAAATACTCCATTGATACATAAATTTTCTAATTTATAAGCAGTTATTGGAATCTTTTGAAACATTTTGTAGAAAAAGACTTTTCAAACTTAAAAGCTATTTGGCAGTCTATATTTCAAGAAACTTTAAGATTTATATTGCACATAAATAACTCTTAAAAGACACTTTTATACTTTCTAGATTTCCAAGCTCAGTATTGTCATTAAACTCCACATGAGTGGCAGCAGGGCACAGTAGCCCCGCCAGCTGTGGGGCCAGCAGGCCTGGACACATAGTTTGGTGCTCTACCATTATTATCTGTGACATTAAGCAAGTTGTTTGACTTCTTTGTGCCCTGGTGTGTATTGGTTTAACTAGAATAATAGTGATGTTTGTTTTTCATAAACTGGCAAAATTATACCTATTAGGTAGTAAATGTTTAATAATTCTCTATTATTACTAATTTTATGGAAATCTAAGAAAGCAAAATATTAGTTTCCAGTATCCAGAAGCTTTCATTAGAATCATTTCTGTTCAAATACTTCTTACCTAAAATACTAAAAATAATTAATTGCAGTCATCTGACCAATCTTAAAGTTGATAGAATCCCTTATCCCCTCTTCCCTTCAAGCCCGTGAGATAAGTAAGGCATTGTTTTAGGTCTTGTGAGTTCTCATTGGCTCTAGTTAGTATTGCATGTATTTTTGGAGGAGACAGCAGCAAGAAGGAATGATTGTGGACTAGTGGTAGAAGAGGGTGAAAGCAGACTGGATGGTTTTGACTTTACAAGGGAGTTCAAACTAAATGGCATTTAACATTTTTGGAGCTTTGTAAACTACCCTAAATGTTAATTTGAACTTATTCTGGCTACATTCCTATATACAAGAAAATTTGGAAGGGCTTTAATATTGGTGGCCCATGCATGCTTGTCTAAAGCTTCATGCATAATTTTTTTCTTTTATAAAATTTCAAGGTTGAATATCATTGTCATTTTTCTATTTTTTAAACTAGCCAATGTTAGTGGGATCTGGAACAGCCTCAGTAACACCAAATAATGACTCTAACACTTCAGGGGAAGACCATAAGTAAGTAAACTTTGTAAGTTTTTGCTTATTTTCACTTACTAAGTCATGTTAATCTAATGTGCTATAAAATAAACTGATGCTTTCTTTTCCCTAACTTCTCTTTCTAAAGGTTTGAACTCAGGTTCCTCACTTACTGGCAGGCACTGTACCACTTGAGCCCTGGCCCCAGTCCTCAGAAAATATATTTTAAGTTGGTGCCATTGGCCTGTGCCTATTATCCTAGCTACAGAAGGAGGCTAGGCTCAGCATGATTGAGGTTCAATGCCAACCCAAGACATTGACACTCCCATCTCCAAAAATAGTGAGAAAAAAAGAGAGACTGGAGACATGGCTCAAGTGGTAGAACACTAGCCAAGCAAGCAAGCTGAGGAAGCACAAGGTCCTCAGTTCAAACCCTGGTACTGACCAAAAAAAAGAAGAAAATACTTTTTCAATTGTTCAATGAAGGAATATCATATTAATAATTGCTTTTGTTTGCTATAATAAAACACTAAAAGGTATATTGTCAAGCTATAATGTTATGGGTTAGTCTTATGTATCAATTATATTCATTGCCATCTGGTTAAGTGGTAAAGAAATAGTCGTAAGTAGTAAAACTAGAGAAGAGGAGTAACCTCTTTACCATGGTCTTTTAGTGATCAAAACATTAAAGTGGGCTTTTTTTGGGGGGGGAGTCTTTTTTTTTAATACCATGAACTGAGTGGCTTATAACAGGCAGTTGTTTTCATAATTTTGGAGGCTGGGAAGTTCCAAGATTGAAATAGCAAAATAAGTCATCGGAAGATCCACAATCTCTAGAGAGGGACCAGTACTTTTGTGGGAATTCTATCTCCATGGTGGTTTTATGAGTGAGAATCAAGTCTTAACAGGTCTCTGGTTTTTAGGGAGTTATGTCATTGCTGGTATGGGAGAGGGAGAGGAGGACATAGAAATGGATTTTGAGTTTTCCCATACCACAAAGCATTCCTGCCAATGTGGTTACGTGTGTGTCAATAAGGAAATCCCTCTTCTTTGGAGCCAAGAGAAATCTCAAAACGAGCAGGGAAGATGTTTTCCCTATCTCTACCTAGTTTTAGAGCATTGCTTAGTGACAGATGTATGCTCCTTTCCTGAAAGCATTTGTGAAGTGTTTATGTGCTAACAACATTACTTAAGAAAAGTGAAACATTTACGTTTTTATAAAACTTGATTAAAAATAGGATTTTAAACTGCAATCACCAGAAGTACACATTATCAATGTGCACACACTTCGTTTGGTTCCAAGGAGGCACCTTTGAGGAGGAGCTGCACATGCTTCAGAAGCATGGAGTTCAGTACTGTGCTGCAGAAGCCTGAATCTTGATTCATTTTCTCATACACTGCCAATTTGCCAAAGACCTGCCACCTTTCAACTAATGGAAAAGTTTTGTTTTATCACTTAAGAACATTATGTGTAGCTTTGGTTAGAAAGAATTACCATAAATTTAACCTTGCATTTTGGGTACCATTAGTTTTGGAGGAGGCAGAATTTCCCAATTCAGGACAAAGAAACACATAATGCTATATACAGTGATAAATCAGGACTGACTGAGCTTCTCCACATCAGCTGTGTAATATATTGGTAGTAATTTAAAATTTTGTTTTTGAAAGTTCTTGGTGGTTTTAAATTTTTTATTTCATTTGTGATGTTTGGTCAAAACTACATATAAATCACAGTTAAGATTGTCCTAGTGTATATTAATTGTTTTATTTCAATTACATATTCTTCTGCCTGTTATTTGAGTGCCCCACACCATAGCTGCCTCACTTCAGTGAAATATTCTTAGACAAAAGTTTACTGTACTCAAAATGGTTTTTTAATCAGCAGGCGTAATTCAGATGCAGCAGGCCCATTTGCAGTGCCTGACCATCTTCGGCAAGATGTAGAAGAATTTGAAGCTCTCTATGACCAGCACAGTAGTGAATATGTTGTCCGAAATAAGAAGCTATGGGATATTAACCCAAAACAAAAATGTTCAACCCTCTATGAGTAAGTAGATTCCTTTCCTAACAGTACTATTTTATGCCAAGGCTGATACTGTTTATTTTGATAAACATCATTTTATTCAATCATGTGTATATAGCTATTGAGACTTTGTGATCTTCTCCTATGATTATCCTCCTTTGGTCTTTTAGTGGAAACAGTACTTTTGTTTGTTTGTTTGTTTTGTTTTGTTTTGTCAGTCGTGGGGCCTGAACTCTGGGCCTGGGCACTGTCCCTCAGCTCTTCAGCTCAAGGCTAGAGCTCTAACACTTGAACCACAGCACCACTTCTGGTTTTCTGGTGGTTAATTGGAGTCTCAGGGAGTTTCCTGCCCAGGCTGGCTTTGAACCTGGATCCTCAGTTCTCAGCCTCCTGAGTAGCTAGGCGTGAGCCACTAGTGCCCAGCTAGAAAGAATTTTTAAGATATTTATTCAACAAATCCTGTGATGATTTGATCTCATTTTTTTATTTGAATAGATTTGTTTGTCATCTCAAAACTCGAATGACAAATTGTGTAGCTTGATGAATTCTGACCCTTTCATTGGAGACAGGATCCCAGAATGCTGTTAATACTTTAACTTAGATGATAATTGTTCGGTTATGATAATGTATAAATACAGAACCCCCTACCCCTGCCTTGTTTTTGGCAGTATCAAGTAGTCAGGGCCTCGGGGACACTCTACCACCTGAGACACAGTCACAGTCTTTTTTACTTTAGTTTGGAATTGGTTGTTGTTGTTTTATTTTTTGGATAAGGTCTTGGTTGACCTTGGACTGTGATCATCCTCCATATACCTCCAGAATAGTTAGATTGTAGCTGTGTGTTGCAATGGCCAGCTTTTCTTGTCCAGATTAGATCTTAGTTTTTTGCACAGGTTTGCCTCAAACTTCAGTCTTCTCGGTCTCTGCCTCCCAAATTCTTAGAATTAACACCATACTGACCCTATACTATTTTTTTTAATGTTTCGAAATGTTTATTTGTGTTTACTATTTCATTTTTTTTTCTTTTTTGGTGGTGAGTGCTTTCTGACCTGGCTTGGTCTTTTTTTTTTTTTTTTAATTGTAAAGGTGTTGTACAGAGGGGCTGCAGTTACATAAGTAAGGCAATGAGTAGGTTTCTTGTCAACCATTGTTACCCCCTCTTCTTGATTTTTCTGTCACTTTCCCTTCTAATTAAAGTAACTTTGGTTTTTAGGGTTGACAGGCAATTATGAAATTTAACAATTCAAGTTTGAGTGAGGTAAATGAAACAGTATAGAGAACAACTTGAGGAAAATGTAGGAAATGACTTACCATTTTGAGCTAGTATTAATAAATATAGTACATAAGGCCTTCAAGTAATTGAGAAGTAGTATGAGACAGAAATTAATGTAGATGTTAACTATTCTCCCAGAGTCCTGTTCTCCATCCTCATATGGTCATTTCTTCTATTTGCTTACTTCCATCATTCCTATTCTGTTGTTGTTGTTTATTTTCCTCAGAATTGAAATACTTCCAGAGATCTTATAGATGACAATTTGGAAACAAAAATTATATTTACATTTCTTAAAATATCCTGGAATTCACTTCAAACTTCCTAAACCGAAGTTAAACTATATGTGTTTAGTGGTATTTTTTTCTCTTAACAGAATTTCTTGTTATTGTATGGAAAGAAGTTTATGACTTAAAAAAGACCTATTTCATTGTTTTCATATAGAATTTATATGATATAGTAATATAAAATTAAGTTATAGGTATATCTAAAAACATAATTATTTGCATTAAGAATTAAGGCCTTAATGGCCAGTGTGTTAAAGAAAACTGAAACAACTTCTGTATGTTAGTTGTTTAGAGTAGAAAAATACTGGACAAAGGTGTCAAGAATGCTAAGGTAACTGCTGCAAATTAACCTTTCTCAGCTTAGATGGAGAATTAGCCTGATTATGTCTCATAGCACCTCTACTTATAACATTTTATGAACTAGGGAACATCTGGGCCATCCACAAAGTCATTTGATACATGATAGGACAGAAACATAGGCTATTTTTCAGATGCCTGTGGCCTGTCTGCCTGTATTCATAACGTTGTATGGCTACAAATAGTGTTATAAATATCCAAATAGTCCTTTGCAGGAAAAAAAGTTTCTCACCCTGATTTAGATAGTTGAAGCAAATTGTTTTGTATAGTTTTTCCTAAATCCCCATTTAGTTGTTTTAGTTAGCCACGTAAGATTATAAGCACTATTGTCGATTCCAGAAAAGGTAGAACATACAGCCTAGCAGGAGAGCTAGGTGAATACTGGTAGCATTACATACAGTGTGTTAGACACAACAGTGACATTCTGAAATGAGAATCATGAGCATATACAAAGCAGTGATTTTCAAAAGGGCTCTCCTAGAATAGCAGACTTCAAATAACTTTTGAAGTTCTTTCCCCATGCTGACCAACACGCACTGGCATTCTGCAGGTCGATCTGTGTAGCAATGTAGTCACATAGAAACATGCACAGAACTGGAGTCACTAAGAAATTAGACTCCGCCTGTAATTCTAGCTACTCATGAGGCTGAGAGCTGAGGATCACAGTTTAAAGCCAGCCCAGACAGTAAAGTCTGTGAGACTCTTTATCTCCAATACACCACTAGAAAACCAAAAGTGGCGCTGTATCTCAAGTGGTAGAACGCTCACCTTGAGCTGAAGAGTGCAGGGACAGCGCCTAGGCCCAGAGCTCAAGCCCCAAGATCCAGCAACAACAACAACAAAACAAAACAAAACGATTCTCCTTATTGGAGATTCAAGTCTTGAACGGCATTGATTTATTGATCAGATTTGATTAATTTTAGTTCTCTGAATGAGTGTACATTCCTGATCTGAAATTTTTTTTTTTTTTTTGGTCGGTCATGGGGCTTGAACTCTGGGCCTGGGTGCTGTCCCTCAGCTCTTCAGCTCAAGGCGAGCGCTCTACCACTTGAGCTACAGCGCCACTTCCGGTTTTCTGGTGGTTTATTGGAGATAGGAGTCTCACGGTCTCTCCTGCCCGGGCTGGCTTTGAACCGAAATCCTCAGATCTCAGCCTCCTGAGTAGCTGGGATTACAGGCGTGAGCCACCAGCGCCCGGCTTGAAAATTTTTAATTTATTTACTGTATGCAGATAAATAGGATTTTTTTATTTGATTTCCTCTTTTCGCTTGGTATTTTTATTTGACATTCTTGAGTTCCTCTACCACCCACCCAAAAAATAATATTTTTTGTTTTTCACTTTTTAAATCATTTACAGAATATGTTTTTGAAATTGATAATTTCTTATCTCCTTTTGCTTTTCCCTCAAGAATTACAAAGGATTATTTTCAGAGGAATGGAGAACATTTTGTTCAGTGTATCACTGGTTTTAGTTAACCTTATGTTTGTTGTTATGTTTATTGTTGAAAGGATTTAAGATCAATGAAAAGTGGAAAAACATATTTTGTTTTGGGATAATACAAATTTTTTCAAATATATGCAAGAACTTTCTTATAATAACTCACACAAATGGATTTTTTTTTCCCCAAGTTATTTTTCTCAGTTGTTGGAGGAACATGGTCCCTTGGATATGAGTAACAAAATGTTCTCTGAAGAATATGAGTTTTTCCCAGAAGAAACTCGACAGATACTAGCAAAAGCAGGAGGCTTAAAATCTTTTCTCCTTGGATGTCCTCGTTTTGTTGTGATTGATAACTGTATTGCATTGAAAAAAGTTGCTTTACGGCTCAAGAAAAAAAGGAAGAAGAAAAACATTAAAACTAAAGTAGAAGAGATTTCAAAGCCAGGGGACTATTTACGTGTTAAACTGCCACTGAACCCTGCAGCTAGGGAATTTAAACCAGATGTGAAGTCCCAACCTGTGCCTGACGTGTCTTCAGTACCAGCTCCTGAGGATGTGAAGCCCCAGCTGGAATCTGATAGCTCTTCCAGTCCAGTTTCTGAGGAGAGCAAACCCACTGAGGTCTCTTCAGATTCTCCCACTCCAGCCTCTGAAGATGCAAATCACACACTAGTTCCCTCACATTCTCCCAAACCAGTTCCTGAGGAGGTGAAACCAACCTATTGGACTCAGTCCCACTTGGTCACAGGATACTGTACGTATGTTCCTTTTCAGAGATTTGACATCACCCAGCCTCCAACAACGTACATAAACGTACTACCAACGTTACCCCAGTATACCAGCATGTACACACCTTTGGCCAGCATCTCTTCTGAATATCCACTGCAGAGATCAATACCAGTGGTGCCGTCCTTTGTAGCCAGTGACAGAGCAGATACAAACGCTGCTGCATATTTTGACAGTCATAATTTGAATGCTGAGAATGTTTCTGGCAGCCAGATTGCCCCTGAAACACATGTTCTTGAGGAGTCTTTGAGAATATCTGAGAGATCACAGTGTAACCCAGACGAAGCCAATACACCCCTGAGCAAGACTGATGGAGCTGATGACCACTGTGGGAACAGCATAAACAAAGTCAACCCAGAAAGTACCAGTGCAGTGACAGATGTCCCACATACCCAGGAGGTTGCCATACAGGTAAGACTGAAATAGAAAAGATAATAATGTTACAGTTAAACTGACCTTTTTTTGTTGTTTTGATTTGTTGTTTTCTGGTCGTAGGGGTTAAACTCAGCTTGGGTGCTGTCCTTGAGCTTGTGCTACAGGTTAGCACTCTTAGCTCTCTGTCACTTCAGCCAGTTCCGCTTTGGGCTTTTTTGGTGCTTAATTGGAGATAAGAATATCACAGACTTTCTTGCAGGGGCTGGCTTTGAATCCTGATCCTTATATCTCAGTCTCCTAAGTAGCTAGATATATAGGCAAGAGCCATTGGTGCCTAGCCTAAAAATATTTCTAAAATATTAAATCGTTTGTGAGGCACGATAAATAATTTTGTCTGAAAGAAGCTTGGATCTAATCAATAATCCTTCCCTGCCCAAAATGAGAAATAAGGTAAAATAGTCAGGTGGAACAAAAACATCACCTTCACAGTTAGTAAAAGCAGGGGGACAGAAAGAAGTGTCTACATCTGTAAGGAAATGCATGTCCCACCAGTGAAGCTTTCCTCTCACCAGCTTACCCAAAGTTAACAGCAGGGTCAACAAAAGCAGCCTCCGAACCTAGAGTGCCTGCATGTGCTGGCAGCTCTACCAAGAATGAATAAAGGAAGCAGTTGGATATGGATCTCAGTGGTAGAATACTTAACTAGCATGTGAAGACCCACAGCTTTTCCCAGCACCGAAATACATATGTATATCTTGCAAACTTGCATAAACACATACAAACAAAGAAGGAACAATCTTGTCTAGGCTGCTCAGCTTCTGCCAAACCTCAGGACGAATGAGAGTTTAAAAAGATAAGATGTAGAGAAACAAGTGATTTGTATGTTATCATCTTAACAAATCATGAAAATAAATCAAAATTCCTTTAGAGTTGCCTCTGTAGGGTGAGAATTCATTAAATGACTATTGAATTTCCTGTTTTTGAAGAAGCTTTGAAAAAGTAAAAACAATGACCCAAATATGTATAAGAAGCATGAAACATCAAAATGGAAAAATGTTCTTAGAAAAACGATGGGCATATACTAAAACATTATAGCTAGATTTACTAGAAAAATGGAAGAAAATGGAATTTGTTTTGCTCTCTATAGGTGTCTTGCAACGTAACACAGCAAGCAGTCAATACCGATCCATATGGTCCTTATGAGACACAACAGGTAAGTCAAAATTATATTAAACCAGGGTTGGGGCATAGCTCGAGTGGTAGAGCACCTGCCTAGCAGTGAGTTCGAACCACAGTACTGAGAAAAGTATTAAACTAAAAGAGTATTAAACTACAGATTTAATTGGGAATGATAAAACTATTATGAAGCCAGATAATTACATTCAAAGTTACCAGAACAGCAGCAACAACAAAAAAAATTAGCAAGACATAGCTTTAGAATATAACAAAAAGTTTCTTGGTTTTCACTCTTGTGAGGAAAAGGGCAAAGGAAAATTTCAGTTCTCACACATTTATACTTTATTTCAAAGTATAATAGTTTTATTGTTTTAACTGGTATAATAAAAATGTGTTTATAATTAAACTTACTCGGGCTGGGAAGGTGGCTCAGTGGTGGAGTGCTTACCTCGCATGCATGAAGCCTGGGTTCAATTCCTCAGTGCCACATACACAGAAAAAGCCAGCAGTGGCGCTGTGGCTCAAATGGTAGAGTGCTGGCCTTGAAAAGAAGCTCAGGGACAGTGTCCAGCCCTGAGTTCAAGCCCCAGGACTGGTAAATAAATAAATAACTTATTTACAAAAATTGAATTGAAAGATCTTCACTTTAAGAATTACTTAGAGGGTGGGAAGGTGGCTCAGTGGTAGAGTGCTTGCCTTGCATGCATGAGGCCCTGGGTTCGATTCCTTAGCACCACATAAACAGGAAAAAAAAAGCCAGAAGTGGTGCTGTGGCTCAAGTGGTAGAGCGCTAGCCTTGAGGTGAAGAGCTGAGGGACAGCGCCCAGGCCCAGAGTTCAGGCCCACGACCGGACCCAAAAAAAAAAAGAATTACTTAGAAATTATTCATGACATATTTTAATATATTATAAGAAAATTACATAACTATGAAATTGCTGGAAGAGTATTGGATAAAATTCAAATCGCCTTTTAAACTAAAACTAGTAATCAAATGGGAATTGGTAAATATTTCTTTTGTTGGACATGGGGCTCGAACTCTGGGCCTGTGCCCTGTCCCTGAGCTCTTCAGCTCAAGGTAGCACTCTACCACTGGAGCCACAGCACCACTTCCAGTTTTCTAGTGGTTTATTGGAGATAAGAGTCTCACAGAGTTTCTTGCCCAGGCTGGCTTTGAACCTCGATCCTCAAATCTCAGCCTCCTGAGTAGCTAGGATTACAGGCATGAGCCACTGGCGCCTGGCAAAGCTACCATCTTCTTAAGGTGACATATTACTACTGTTTATTATTAACCTAAAGACATTAACTAGTGGAGCACCAGTGGTTCACGCCTGTAATCTAATCCACTCAGGAGGCTGGGAGCTGAGGATTGCATGGTTCAAAGCCAGCCCAAGCAGAAAAGTCTGTGAGACTTATCTCCAGTTAACTACCAGAAAACCGGAAGTGGCATTGTGGCTCAAGTAGCAGAGCACTTGCCTTGAGCTGAAGACATGAGGGACAGCACCCGGGCCCAGAGTTCGGGTCCCATGACCAAGAAAAAAATATAAAGAAAGACATGAACGGACAAAAAAAGGCATGATAAAGACATAAGACTGAAAAGAGGAAGAATAATTTATAGAGGAAAATAAAAGAAAAAATAATCCAATATGAGATTAAAAAAACAAAACAGTTAATTGAATACTATTGAGGATAGTAAATAACGATTTCTAGGAAGACATCATGGAATCTATCTGTATTCAGATGTGTGTAGAGACCAGTAAGGAAGAATATTTATATATTTGTTTTGCCTATATATATATATATTTTTTTTTTGGTCCAATCATGAGGCTTGAACTCTGGGCCTGGGCGCTGTCCCTCAGCTCTTCACCTCAAGGCTAGCGCTCTACCACTTGAGCCACAGCACCACTTCCAGCTTTTTTCTTTTTGCTTATGTGGTGCTGAGGAATCGAACCCAGGGCCTCAGGCATGCAAAGCAAGCGCTCTACCACTGAGCCACCTTCCCAGCCCCATGTTTTGCCTATATTTATTCCAGCAAAAAAATGCAATTTAAATGTCTATCAGTAGCAGACTAAATTATAGTGTGTCTGTATAGTAAAATAGTACATTATCATTTAACAATTAAGCTGTCCTAATATTAATAATGTAGAATAACTTATAAACCCAATAGGTAGCTAATGAAGTATTGTTAGAATTTGGTGTTACCTGCTACCATTTTAATAAAAAACTATAGTTTTAGCCAATTATAATTATTAGGCACCTATATAATAACAATAAAAATTTCAAACCTGAAAAAAAAATAATTATTAGGGCTGGGAGGGTGGCTCAGAGGTAAGTGCTTGCCTTGCATGCATGAGGCCTGGGGTTCAATTCCTCAGCACCACATAAGCAGAAAAAGCTGGAAGTGGTGCTGTGGCTCAAGTGGTAGAACGCTAGCCTTGAGCTGAAGAGCTGAGGGACAGCACTCAGATCCAGAGTTCAAGCCCCTTCCCCCCCAAAAAAAGACATTATAAATTTAAGTTAACTGATAACTGAGTTTATTAAAACTCCTTAAATTGTTATTCCACTTTTAAAATTTTAAATTATTTAAATCATTAAATTGTTAAAGTTATTTAATTATATGTATTTTTTTATTTTTATTTTTTTTGCCGGTCGTGGGGCCTAAACTCTGAACCTGGGCGCTGTCCCTCAGCTCTTCAGCTCAAGGCTAGCGCTCTACCACTTGAGCCACAGTGCCTCTTCTTCATAATCTTTTATTGGTTATTTTGTTGTATGAATGTGCGGTAATTTATTTGACTTACTGTAACACATTTAGATTCTGTCAGCTTTGTATGTTGACAAATAGGACTGCAGAAAAAAAAAAACTTAAGCCGACGTATACTATATACCAAATAGACTGTGTTTTATGTAGTACTTAGCTCTAAGCCAAATAGGCTCTGTTGTTAATGAGTCTACATTTGTCATTCATAAATAAATACTTTGATCAGTATTGGGCATGTTCACAAATATCTCTCACTGAAATGTGATGAGGTTTAAATGTGACAGCATGGAAGTGTCACCTCTCTACGGTCTCTTTTGGTGATCTTGAGTATATAAATTAATGTGATCCTTTTGCTAAATTAGGAATAAAAATAGAAGAAACTAAGCCGGACATTGGTGTCTCATGCCTGTAATCCTAACTACTCAGGAGGCAGAGATCTAAGGATCGCCGTTCAAAGCCAGCCCTGGCAGGAAAGTCCAAGAGACATTTTTTTTTCTGTCAGTCATGGGGTCTGAACTCTGAGTCTGGGTGCTGTCCTTCAGCTCTTCAGTTCAAGGCTAAGTACTCTACCACTTGAACCACAGTGCCACTTCTGGCTTTTTTCTGCTTATATAGTTCTGAGGAATCGAATCCAGGGCCTCATGCATGAAAGGCAAGCACTCTACCACTGAGCCACCTTCCCAGCCCTCCGTGAGATTCTGACCTCCAGTAAATCACTTAGAAAACCGGAAGTGGAGCTAATACTTGCTTTGAGCTGAAGAGCAGAGGGCTAGCGCCCAGGCCCAGAGTTCAAGCCCCATGACTGACACCCCCCCCCAAAAAAAAAAGGAAACCATAAAAACTTGATCCTGTGTCATAGTAAGATTGACCATTTAGTTTATTATTTAAACGCATGTTCTATTTGTACTGCTAAGCTCTTGAGTCTGTCCAAGCTTAACCTGGAGCTCACTTAGGCACACTCACTCATTGGATCGTACTAGCATAATTCACAGTTCTCTGATGAATCACAAAATTTGAAGCATTTACCTCCTGCCTTTTTATACTAGGAAGGTGCTCGAATGGGGGAAAGAGGGAGGTACAGAAGATGGCCCAGGTTTGGTGTCACTGGGCTAGATTTCCTCAGCCTGGCTGCCACAGGAGGGCAGCCCTCAGCAGCTAAGCAACAGATACTCTGTTCAGACCCAAGTATGTGACGGGTGACAGTCCCAGCTGTATGAGAGATTTTTAAAAAGCCTTACACAAATTACTGGCCAGTGTTTCACATTATAGCATAATTTCTGGGTTGTTTTCTTAAGTTGGTCCAAGAGACAAATAACTGAAGTCACGTCATTAATTGCTAAATTCTCTTTTTGAAATAACCAGCTACTTTCCATTTGAAACTTTTAAGGTTAGTTCCAAAATTAATTTTTTCTTTCTTTAGGTTTTTTTTTTTAATTTTGCCAGTCCTGGGGCCTGAATCTCAGGGCTGGGTGTTGTCCCTGAGCGTCTTTTGCTCAAGGCTGGCACTTTACCACTTTGAGCCACAGCTCTACTTCTGTCCTTTTTTGGTAGTTTATTAGAAATAAGAGTCTCACAGACTTTTCTGCCTGGGCTAGCTTCATTTTTTTGGTATTTATTTTTTTAATTTTTTTTCTGTTGTTGGTCATGGGGCTTAAACTCTGATCCTGGGCGCTGTCCTGAGCTCTTCATCTCAAGGTGAGCGCTCTACCACTTGAGCTACCAGGGCCACTTCTGGTTTTCTGGTGGTTCATTAGAGATAAAGAGTCTCACAGACTTTCCTGCCTGGGCTGGCTTTGAATGCAGTCCTCAGCTCTCAGGTCCTGCTCGGATGATAGGTGCAAGCCACCAGCGCCCAGCTTGCTTTTAAACACTTTGAAAGCCAGGTGCTGGTGGCCTGAAGCCTATAGTTCTAGCTGCTCAGGAAGCTGAAATCTGATTGTAGTTTGAAGCCAGCCTGTGCAGGAAAGTCCATGAGATTGATCTCTAGTTAACTGTGGTAAAACCAGAAGTGCAACCTTGGCTCCACTTTTGCTAGTCTTTAGGAAAAAACAAAACAAAAACCTGAGAGACAGTTGCCCAGGCCCTGAGTCAACGCCCCATGACCAATCAAAACAAATTTTTAAATTTTGAATCTGTATACATTAACAATGTAAGAGTTTCATTGTCATCATTCTATAGACAAACTGTGTACTTTGAACTTATGCACCCCTCCATTACATTCCTAGTCATCCCTTTCTCCTTTCTCATCTTTTTTTTTTTTTTTTCCAGCCCTGCAGCTTAAACTCAGGGTCTGGGCACTGTTCCTGAGTTTCTTTTGCTCAAGACTAGCATTCTACCACTTGAGTGGCAGCGCCACTTCTGGCTTTTTCTGTGTATGTGGTACTGAGGAATCAAACCCAGGGCTTCATGCGTGCTAGGCAAGCACTCTACCACTAAGCCACCCCAGCCCCTCCTTTCTCATACATGTGTATGAGGGGGAGGCGCACATGCGCGTGAATTCATGTATGTGTGTCTGTGTGTATATGTGTGTTTGTATATGTGTTCAGAACAAGATCACATATAGGCATTTGAAGCAATGTTTAAGAGTGTTATCATTTCCTTTTAGGGGGATATTTCACAGATTGAGAAAGAGTACGAAAAAGAATATCACACATTACAAGAACAGCTTAAGGAAGCATATGAAAATTATGAGCAGATAAAACTCAGGAGCTCAGAAGAGACCAGGGATCTGGAAGAAAAGTTGAAAAGGAACATAGAAGAAAACAAGGTAATCCTGTCTGAAACCTTCCTTAAGTAGTCAGAATAATTAGGAGCATTCAAGTATAACTGTTGATGAGCCTCAGTTAGCTGAACCACACGTTGACTAAACAAAGAATTCTATCTCCAAATAGCCTCTTTGAAATTTTTCTCCAACGTTTTCAAGTGACAATGTTTCTTGCACTGTTGAACCTCTACAAATTGCTTTTGAGAAAAGGGCTATAAATCTGGCTTTTAATTTATCTACAGTTCAGTTTTTTGGTAAACTTAAACTCTTTTCTAGTGACTACGTTTCATGTTAAATTCCTTTCTGTATTGAGAGGCATGTCACATTAGTCGTTCCAAGTCTGGAGCCAGACTGATGGAGATTATATCCAGATAGTTCTGGTCTTGGGTAAATTAATTAACTTCTCTGTGCTTTAGTTGCTTATCTGGAACCTTTGAGTAATAATTGTTCCTATTTTGTAGCTTTAAAACGCTCGTACAGTCATTAAAACTGCCTGGTACTACATAGTAAGGGTTCAGTGAGTATTACTGTTTTTACTATCATTCCATCATTTTCCTCCTAAGACAGCATGAAAATTACTCATGGAGTCTTTGGACTCCAACTGCCCTTCAGAGTATTTAGTTTGAATGTACTGCTCTGGAATTCTAGTAGATGAGATTGAGCACCAGTTACATTTAGCTGACTGGAGGATAAATACCAGTTAGGGACAAGACCAGATTAAATTAGTTTTTTTGGCAGTGGAATTGTGATGTAAGGAAATTATGTTGTGTTTTTTTAAAACTTGTGTCTTTTGTTCAGAAAGGTAACATTATTTAAGAAGGGATGATTTTTATTCCAGAAGTCCAGATCAATAGCTAGAATAATGTATTAAATATTAGAGTATTTGCTGGGCATTAGTGCCTCATATCTGTAATCCAGCTACTCAAGAGACTGAGATTTGAGAATCAGTCTTCAGAGCTAGCCAAAGCAGACAAATTGGAAAGACTCATCTCCAATTGACTAGCTCCATTGGGAGTACCAGCTATGAGTGGAAAAATGATACAAGAGTGTGAGCCCTTGAGTTCAAGCCCCAGCATTGGAAAGGGAGGGAGGAAGAGAGGGAAAGAAAACACAAGAAAATTACTTTAATGGAACCTTAAAAAAAAACTCCCTTATGGGTGAGGGGGAAACTGGGAAAGAATGAGGGAATGGAGGACACTGTTCTAAAGGAAATATGCTCATTACCTGACTTATGTAACTGTAACCCTGCTGCACATCATCTTTACATAAAATTCATAAAAAGAACAAACTCACTACGATTTAAGTATACACAGAGGAAAAGGATTCATCTGTAAAGATAACTATTAGGATGTTTCCTAGGACCTATTGGGTAGAACTGGAAAGACAGGATGAAAAGAACAAAAAGAAAACTCTGCTTACTACATAACATAGGGAACATGAGTTTAATAAACTATGGAAGGTTTAACAAAATGAAGTATTGTTACAAATTCAGTTTCAGTAAATCCATATGAAAATTTTTAGGGCCACCCACGTGAGCGACAGGCAGGCTGGGGCACAAAAGCACCTCAGCTTGGCAGTAGGTAAGTGAAGCATATTTCTCTCTGACAGCTTTCCTGCCTTTATAAACTAGTGGCCAGTGCTATGTTTGCATAGTTCATCAAGGTTCTGCCATCTGTGCCCAAGGGGAAGGCTGTGAGAGAGCAGCAGCACTGACTAATTTGTTCTGGCTTTTAGCTTGGTTTTTGTTTTTGAATTTGCCAAGTAGCCCAAGCTGGCTTCAAACTCTTGATCTTCTGCCTCTTTAGTGCTAGAATTACAGGTACGTACAGTGGACTGTTTACTGTACTTTTTTTTTTTCCCTTGGTCATGGGGGCTCAACTCTGGGCCTTGGCTCCTCCCTCAGCTCTTCAGCTCTACACTTGAGCCACAGCACCACTTCCAGCTTTTTTCTGCTTATGTGATGCTTAGGAATCAAACCCAGGGCCTCATGCATGCAAGGCAAGCACTCTACCACTGAGCCAACTTCCCAGTCCATGGTATGGCTTTGAGTCTGCTGTCATACTCAAAAGCATAGTAAATCTGATTTGTAAAGAAGCAATTATTTTGTCTCTAAAATTATTAGTTTATTAGATATTAGACTTTTCAGGTGAAATGTATACTTGTTACCTGTCAAGATAAACTGCTAGTCTGAGTGCCTTTGGTGTCTACACAAGAGCAAGTGGGATTGAGATGTGATTACTTCTTTACTAATCAAGAAGCGAAGCAACTATGTCATTAAAGAGGTGGCTAATACAAATAGCAGATGAGCTCATTGAGTATTTTCATTGGCTGAGCGGTTTGTGTTTACACTTGCACATGGGGTTATAATTCTTTATGCCTTTTGTTACCTGATCTCCTTTAAATACTTGTTGCCAAGTAGGTTCTTGTGCCTCAGCATCGTATAACCATGTGGTTGTACCTAATCTCTATGCCAAAGACCTGGGGATCCAAGGTGAGATCATTGGCTTAAAGTAGAAAAGCAGGATAGGAGAGAAACAAAGTTGGCTTGGCAGCAAGGCAGGCAAATTGACACTGGTCCTGGTACAGAAATAAACTAGGTAGAGGATAAGATTTTGTAAATAGAGTAAGCCTGGGATCAGTGAGGTTTTAGGGAGGGAAATGTGACAAGACTTGTTCCTAGGCTTAGAAAACACCACTGAACTATTGTTTAATTCTGTCACCCAGAAACAATAATAAACTCTTTCTTTCAGGATGACTCAAAAATCTTTAAGTAGCTAGACTGACTTGCAAGTTTGCCTCCCTAGAGCATCGAACACTTGTTGTCCTCGACTAAAGAGGAAAAAATGTCCTCTCAGTTGGTATCACTTTGGACTTGTGGCCATGATTTCCTGTGGAGTGTGTATACATTGACTTTAGAATACATCATGCTTTCTGAGAACCCTTGTCCTTAGTGATCCACAGTGAAGTCAGGAAAGTCAGGCCCAGGAAACCTGACAGGAAGTAAAAACTAAATCCTCCTACAGCAAATGTGAGGCTAATATTTCATTAAGCATCCATCAATGATAGTAAAGTCTTGAAACTGTAGAATGTTTAACATGTGGCTTTTATTTAGTTCTTTCATTTAAATAATGCTCTGATAATGAGAAATGTTAAGATAGAGAGTGCTTTACTTATAAATGATGGGTATTTACAAACATGTTCATTCAAACCTCTTGCTACCATTGAATGAATTATTCTTCAAAAAGGACATAAAACTTTCCATGTGTTTCAAAGTTCAAAAATGAGCCAGGCTTGAGCCGGGCACCCGTGACTCATGCCTGTAATCCTCGCTACTCAGGAGGTTGAGATCTGAGGATCACGGCTCAAAGCCAGCCCAGGCAAGAAAGTCCATGAAACTTTTTTTTTTTTTTTTGTCAGTCATGGGGCTTGAACTCTGGGCCTGGGCGCTGTCCCTCAGCTCTTCAGCTCAAGGCAAGCGCTCTACCACTTGAGCTACAGCTCCACTTCCGGTTTTCTAGTGGTTTATTGGGGATAGGAGTCTCACAGTCTTTCCTGCCAGGACTGGCTTTGAACCGTGATCTTCAGATCTCAGCCTCCTGAGTAGCTAGGATTACAGGTGTGAGCCACCGGCACTGGGCTCCAATAAACCACCAGAAAACTGGAAGTGGAGCTGTAGCTCAAGTGGTAGCGTGCTAGCCATGAGCTGAAGAGCTGAGGGACAGCACTCAGGCCGAGTTCAAGCCCCACGACTGACAAAAAAAAAGCCAGACTCGCCGGGCGCTGGTGGCTCACGCCTGTAATCCTAGCTACTCAGGAGGCTGAGATCTGAGGATCGCGGTTCAAAGCCAGCCCGGGCAGAAGAGACCGTGAGACTCCTATCTCCAATAAACCACCAGAAAACCGGAAGTGGCGCTGTAGCTCAAGTGGTAGAGCACTCGCCTTGAGCTGAAGAGCTGAGGGACAGCGCTCAGGCCCAGAGTTCAAGCCCCACGACCGACAAAAAAAAAAAAAAAAGCCAGACTCTCATTTCTGTGAGACTCTTACTTACCTCCAGTTAACCACCAGAAACCTGGAAATGGCGCTGTGGCTCAGGTAGTAGAGCATTAGCCTTGAGCTGAGGAGCTGAGGAACAGCACCCATGACCACCACCAACAACAAAAACAAAAGTTTCAAAGGCCGGGCTCCAGTGGCTCATGCCTGTAATCCTAGCTACTCAGAAGGCTGAGATTTGAGGATCAAGGTTTGAAGCCAGCCCAGGCTGGAAAGTCCATGAGACTCTTTATCTCCAGCAAAGCATCAAAAAAAGCCAGAAGTGGAGCTGTAGCTCAAATGGTACAGCTCTAGCCTTGAACAAAAAAAGCACAGGACAGGGCTGGGAAGGTGGCTCAGTGGTAGAGCGCTTGCCTTGCATGCTCAAGGCCCTGGGTTTGATTCCTCAGCACCACATAAGCAAAAAGAAAAAAGCCGGAAATGGCGCTGTGGCTCAAGTGGTAGAGCACTAGCCTTGAGCTGAAGAGCTGAGGGACAGTGCCCAGGCCCAGAGTTTAGGCCCCACGACCGGACCAAAAAAAAAAAAAAAGCACAGGACAGCATCTAGACCCTGAGTTCAAGTACCAGGACCACCAACACACACAACAAAAGTGTTTCAAAGATGTTTCAAAAAGCCAAAGCTGCATGGGAAAGTTAACAAAATGGACTGGGTATCAGTGTTGCACCTCACTCTAGGGGAAAGAGAACTAACTTATCAGCAGGTCCCATTTCTCTTTTGTCAAACTGCCTGAGAGTTTGTTAAGTTTTCAAACAGAGGCATTCCATTTTTTTTAAAGCAAACAAAAAGTTTTAGACTTGGGCAGACTACTTCTGGATTAAAGAAACGTGGCACGAGCCGGGCGCTGGTGGCTCACGCCTGTAATCCTAGCTACTCAGGAGGCTGAGATCTGAGGATCGTGGTTCAAAGCCAGCCCGGCAGGAGAGACCGTGAGACTCGTATCTCCAATAAAACCACCAGAAAACCGGAAGTGGCGCTGTAGCTCAAGTGGTAGAGCGCTCGCCTTGAGCTGAAGAGCTGAGGGACAGCACCCAGGCCCAGAGTTCAAGCCCCACGACCGACAAAAAAAAAAAAAAAAAAAAGAAACGTGGCATGGAGAGTGAAGTATGCATCCTTATGTGCACAGTGAAGCGCTTCTTCAGAGTACTTTCTGTAATGAGCTGGGTACACTTAATGCTTAGGATGTGGTTGTATTGTATGACTATACCTCAGGGCTGGCCATTACAGCATAACCTGCCATGGGTGCTAGCTTGTGCATCTTTATTCCCCTAGAACGCAAGCCATTGTGGGAGCTAATACATTTTCACAATTCTGTTCTCTTGGGCTCAGCTCTCCACCCCCTCTTACCACTACCCCTCTCCCCCCCCCCCCCCCCCGCAAAAAAAAAAAAAGTACATTGCCATTTATTCAGGTACTTTCTGAAATGTTTTAGATCTCCAAGACAGAATTAGATTGGTTCCTTCAAGATTTGGACAAAGAAATTAAAAAATGGCAACGAGAGAAAAAAGAAATCCAAGAAAGATTGAAAGCACTGAAGAAGAAAATTAAGAAGCTTTTAAATACCATTGAAATGTAAGTAACAGTTGAAAGGCAATACCTTTTCTTAACAACATTTATGAATTATATTTGTTGTTATTTTCACCTTTTATGTTTGATTTGGACTGGGCTCCAATGGGATGGCTCAGTACCTGTAATTGAGGATCTTTCTCCTTGTATAGCCTCTCCATCTGCTGATTATCTATACGATCTTGCCATGTGCTCTCGGGCATGGTAGCCACACTTCTGTGATGCTTAAGGTCCCTAAGGATGTAGAAACTGCAGTGCTTGTTGATAGTTCAAGCCCAAAACTTGTCATAAGCATGATTTCTGCCACAATCAGTTGTTTAAAGTAAAGCCTCAGCCTAGTTTAGATGGCTTTTTGGAGGCCACAATGTGTATTGACCTCTAAGGATACTTATAGTTTCTCTATGCTTGGTGCCATACAACTAGATGCTCTCCCCTCCCCCTACACCTCCCCCTACACCCCCCACCCCCCGTCTTAGGGCTAGAACTCAGGGACTGGGCACTGTTCCTGAGCTTTTTTGCTTAAGGTTAGCAGCACTCCATCACTTGAACCACAGCCATAAAAATTTCCATGCCAGTGTCTTTTTTTTTTAGGTGGATGTTGGAATCTGTGTTAACTAGGCTGACCTCAAACTTGAATTCTCCTGACTTAGCCTTCTGAGTAGATGGGATTCTAGACATGAGCCATCATGCCTGACTTGTCATTCTTTTTTTAAATATCAACAAAGTAGTTCCCTTAGTAGACCACATTTAATGAAACTAATGTCTGTAAAGCTCTGAATATTTGTGTAACTTAATTTTAAAAATGTGGAAATTGGGGCTTGGAAGGTAGCTCAGTTGGTAGGGTGCTTGCCTTGCATGCATGAGACCCTGGGTTTGATTCCTCAGCACCACATAAGCAAAAAAAAGCCAGAAGTGGTGCTGTGGCTCAGGTGGTAGAGCGCTAGCCTTGAGCTGAAGAGCTGAGGGACAACACCCAGGCCCAGAGTTCAGGCCCCATGACCGACCAAAATAAAAAAAAAAATTGGAAATTGCTAAGTGCCAGTGGTTCATGCCTGAATCTTAGCTACTCAGCAAGCTGAGATCTGAGAATCATGATTTGAAGCCAGTCTGGGAAGAAAAGTCTGAGAAACTCTTCAGCAAAAAGCTGTACTGGATGCATGGTTCAATTGGTAGAGTATCAGTTAAGCATGAAGCCCTAAGTTCAAGCCCCCAAACCAGCGTGTTCTCTCTGTCTCTGTCTCTCTCTCTCTCTCTCTCCTCTCCCTCTCATATACACACATACGTGTGTGTGCAAGCATTCATGTGTACGTGCCAAAAAAGAGAAGATTACACTAGTATCTAAAGCCTGTAATCCTAGATGCTCAGGAGGCAGAGATTGGAAGAGTCAAGAGTTTGAGGCCAGCCCTCAACTAATAGCTGGCTATAAACTGTCATTACAGCTGTATAGGAGGCTGAGACTGAGAATCATAGTTCAAGGCTTGGATAGTCAAAGAAGTTCCTAAGACCCTCATCTCAATAGAAGTTAGGTGTGGTGGTGCATACCTGTCATCATAGCTATGGTGGTAATTCAATAGGAGAATTGAAGTCTAGGCCAGCCCAGGCATAAGAGCAAAACCTGTCTTGCAAAAAGGCCTAAAGACATAGCTGAAAGATTACAGTGCCTGCTTAGCTAGTGTGAAGCCCTGAGCTCACACCTCAGAACCTCAAAAAAAAAGGGAAGGAGGACTAACTCATAATTCTTTCATGGCAATTCAGGCATACTGTTTAAAAAGATAACAATTTTATAAGAAAAATTAATCAGGGGGCGGAGGGGGGGAGGATGGGAAGGAATGGGAAGGGGAAACAAAGGCGGAGGCTACAATGCTTGATAAGAAATGTACTCATTACCTTGCCCATGTAATTGTAACCCCTCTGTACAGTATTTTCACAATAAAAAAAGAAAGAAAAAAAAAATGAACCATTTCTGCTGTGAAATAAACATTACTATTTTTTTCATTTTAGCTTCAAAACTGATTTTTTATATTTAGATTTTTAAGTAACATCTTATTATCTTTTTTATCTCTTTCCTTGTGCTAGATCTCAAGGGATAGAAATCTGTCTCATATTATTTAATCTCACTACCCATTAACAAATGACTGGGATATAAAAGCTCATGGTTGGTGCAGGGATACTGCCCACTAGTGACTGAAAGCATATGTAATCAGTGAAGGTGCAGCCCAGGAGTAGGAGTTTGAGAGTGGAAGAATCACTTAAAAAGAAGTGAAATGGAGCAGGGTGCTGGTGGCCCACCCCTGTAATCCTAGCTACTCTGAGGACGTGATCTGATGATTGAGGTTCAAAGACAGCCAGGGCAGAAAAACCAGAAAACTGGAAGTGGCGCTGTGGCTTGAAGTGGTAGAGCAGTAGCCTTGAATGAAAAAGCTCAGGGACATCGCCCAGGCCCTGAGTTCAAATCCCATGACCATAAAATAAAGTGAGATGGCATTTAAACTACATCTTATTAGAAATGTTTAAAAACTACACGGGAAAGGTATATAGTTGTCCTGGGTTTTTTTGTTTTTGTTTTTGTCGGTCATGGAGCTAGAACTCTGGGCTTGGGCACTGTCCCTGTGCTCTTCAAGCTTAAGGTGAGTGCTCTACCACTTGAGCCACAAAGCCACTTCTGGTTTTCTAGTGGATTATTGGAGGTAAGAGTCTCACGGACTTTCCTGCCCAGGCTGGACTTTGAACCGTGATTCTCAGATTTCAGCCTCCTGAGTAGCTAGGATTACAGGCGTGAGCCACCAGCGCCCAGCTAGTTGTCCTGTTTTAACTGTGAAGTCATAGATTGTCCTCTGAGTAAGAGAGTCACTGCTTCTACCAAAACTGACTGAGAGCCTGTGCTCCTAGCTTCCAGCTGAAGCCACCTGCAGTGTGCTTCCTGGGTGATATATCTGTAAGCAGAGTGAAGCAAAAGCAAATCTCCCCTCCAAGTGTAAAAGAAAATTTCTCAAAAGGAAAACAACCTCAATTGCTTGCCCATTTATAAGCTAGAAATGAAACAAAATATAAAAGTATTTTAAAAACTAAAAATGCTTGTATAGATATGGTGTAATTTACGGGATAGGATGTTTTGAAAAAATCTGCAGGCTAATTAAACTAGTTACTCTTCTTTTGTAGGTCCACCCAGAAAAATGATGTCATGGACAAGAACCAGGAACTTTTTCCTGACCAGTCCCTTGAAAGCAGGCAGGCTATTTTCATTATCTTACACTTTTTCTAACAGAAATATAACCATACTCTAGTCTTTTAAATATTTAGTTGCTTATGTGTTTGTTTTAAATACCTATCTAGCCAGGCTCCAGTGGCCCACACCTATAATCCTAGCTACTTAGGAGGCTGAGATCTGATGGTGAAGGTTCAAAGTCAGCCCAGGCAGGAAAATCTGAGAGACTTTTATCTCCAGTTTACCACCAAAAAGCCAAGAATGAGGCTATGCCTTTAGTGGTACAGTGCTAGCCTTGAGCACAAAACTCAAGAGACAACAACCAGGACATAACAATTACCCATTTTATTTTCATTTCATTTTGAAACTAAGTATAAATAAGTATTATTTCTATATTTTCTTTAGGTATTTTTATTTTACCAGGCAATATAAAGAAATCGTGAATGTATTGTTTTCAGTTACTCTTATTTATTTGAATTAACTTGAAACTAAAGGTGTGTTGGAAAACTTTTTGAGGTTGAGGGTGTCACTAGATGGTAGAAGTGCTTTTCTGGGTTTGTAATACACAGGGGTCCTGGGTTGCATTACAAGCATCTATTGTGTTGCTTGAAATGTTAGTCTGTACCAAATGCCCTTTTAATGTTCCTACTGGAGGTAATGAGTTTCCACATAGGCATAATACGTTATCAGTGGTAAGCACTTATATTTTGCTTTTCTCATTTGATAATTTCATATGCACACTTCATTTCCAGCATATTGCATGGCCACCTTTTTTAGCATTTAGTTTCCTTTTCCCCACATTGGCTGTTAAGAAGTGTGGCTAGGGCTGGGAAGGTGGCTCAGTGGTAGAGCGCTTGCCTTGCATGCCTGAGGCCCTGGGTTCGATTCCCCAGCACCACATAAGCAAAAAAAAAAAAAAAGAAGTGTGGCTAGTGGGGCAGGGGGAGGATGGGAAGGGCTGGGAAGGGGAAACAAAGGAGGAGGCTACAATGCTTGATAAGAAATGTACTCATTATCTTGCCCATGTAGTTTTCACCCCTCTGTACAATATTTTCACAATAAAAAAAAAAGATAATCAAAAATAAACAGTGAGATATCCACATTTTTTAAAAAAAAGTGTGGCTATGCGCAATTATGCACAGGTCATTCTTTTTTGTTGAGTCTTTTGCTTGTGATGTATGTCAATAATTTCTGGCCCCAAAGGGAATTGTTGATAGCATTCATTCATGTGGCAGGTTGTATTCCACCTGCACTCTTAACCAGTGGCCTGTCGTGGCATCCTCCATCTCTCTCAGCTTGGCCCTCAGATACTCACCTGGGGTTTTACACTTTCCTTTGGTCATTTGTAAAATGGAGAGAGCACACACATGTGAGTCCTGTTCTATGAGGAAATTAAGTGTGGCTTAGTCTTAAAATTGATCTGGCCTGGAGTTGAATTTGTTCTCAAGGTTTTTGGTTTTTTTCTTTCAACATTGTAGTAATACATTTACAAGTGAAAAAATGCAAATAGAAGAGCGTATACAGAAAGGGAAGGAGTGCTGTGAAGAGAGTAGACAAAGGGCCATGGCTGCAGAGGTGAGTGCTGGTCTGTGAAGGACACTGCTGAGGGGCAGGTGTGCCAACGCCACTTTTTGGGTTTTGTGTTTCTTTAATTACATGCAAGGCATGATGTTACTCTTGGGAAATGGGATGAGAGATTTCCATTACCTATAAATCTGTCTCTCCCCAACACAGCCACTCTCCCTGTGTTACATACATGTATTCATAATGCACAACACCCTTTAGTCACTTCCCATACTGTACACTATACCTTCAATGTGTTTAATCAGGTAACGTGCCATGACATAGCCAACCATAAGATGAAAATAATGTACTAAGAATATACTCCTGTTGGGCACCTGTGGCTGATGCCTGTAATCCTAGCTACGTAGGAGGCTGACACCTGTAGATTATGGTTCAAAGCAGTCCGGCAGGACTAGCTTATCAGTATATGAGACTCTTATATCCAGTAAACTACCAAAAAGCCAGAAATGGAGCTGTGACTCAATTGATAGAACACCAGCACTGAGCAAAAAAAAAAAAAAAAAAAGGCTCATGTGATTTACACCTGTAATTGCAATATTATATTCTCCTTCTTGCCAGAAGAATATGTACCAGTACTGTGCATTATTTGAAAAACCACTAAGACAAGAATAAAAATGATGTCTGCTTTTATTTACATTGTTTTCTAAAGCCTGGCTGTGTGTGTTTTTCTAGTTGAGATTCTAGGGGGCTTTTTGACTGATTGTATAGCCCACAGTTCCGCCACAGGCCCTTGGCTCTGATTACACACATTCACACATAGAAAGTGTGCACAGTTCACCCAGCTCCATGCTTGTATATGCCTTAAGCAGAAAGCCATGTACAATAGTGTCACATCTGTAAGAAGGATCACTAAAGTAGACTTTTTAATGTCTTTTGTTAGTCTGTTCTCAAATCCCAAATCATAGCATAGAGAAGTTCTGGTAATCCTGTCCCGATTCTTCCTTTAAGGAGAAATTGGAAAATGACTGTAAATCTTAATGTTTTAACTTGTAAATAGTGTGTTTATATTTGAAAAATGCCTAAACATCTTTAATTTGCTGGCAGGTATCTGTGCTTGAAAACTGGAAGGAGCATGAGATGTATAGGTTACAGACCATGGCATCGCAAGCAGAAGCCTACCTTAAGAACCTCAAGCTGACCAGCAGGTAGTATGGCCTCCCAGAGGTTCTCCAGCAAGTTGCTTAGGAAATGAAATTAGAAACACTTGAGGAAAAAAAGATTTTAAGATTAGGGCCATTTTGTTTTAAATAGATACAGTTGCAGAAAAATCAAAATATGAACAAAAGAAGTGGAGATCAGGAGAATTAGTTTGAGGTCAGCATGAGCAAAAAATTAAGAGATTCCATTTCTAAAATACATCGATAAACAGTTAAGTCCAGGGCCTGGGAAGGTGGCTCAGTGGTAGAGCGCTTGCCTTGCATGCATCAGGCCCTGGGTTTGATTCCTCAGCACCACATAAGCAAAAAGAAAAAAGCCGGAAGTGGCGCTGTGGCTCAAGTGGTAGAGCGTTAGCCTTGAGCTGAAGAGCTGAGGGACAGCACCCAGGCCCAGAGTTCAGGCCCCATGACCGGACCCAAAACAACAACAACAAAAAAAACCAGTTAAGTCCAGTGGTATGTGTCTATCAGCCCAGCTTTCTGGGGGTCATAGATAGGAGGATTGAGGTCCAGCCCAGGCCAGATATAAACAAAAGACCCTATTCAACCACTAAGACAAGCAAAAAGAGCTAGAAGAGGGGGCTGGGAAGTTGGCTCACTGGTAGAATGCTTGCCTCGTATGCATGAGGCCCTGGGTTCTATTCCTCAGCACCACATAAGCAGAAAAAAGCCAGAAGTGGTGCTTTGGCTCAAGTGGTAGAGCACTAGCCTTGAGTTGAAAAGCTGAGAGACAGCGCCAGGCCCAGAGTTCAGCCCCCAGGACCGGATCCAAGAAAAAAGAGCTGGAGGAGGGGCTCAACTGGTACAGCACCAGATTGGAGGGTTCAGGCCCTAAATTCAAACCCTAGCATTGCTCCCACAAAATCCACAGTATCTCTATCCAATTCTATATAAATATATAGTTAATCTTACCGGAAAAGTTCATTAATGATAAAAGTTTACATATTTTTTCCACTAGATAGAATTTCTTCTCATATTGATCATTATAGTTTTCTGACCTGAATTTGAAAGGTTGATTGGTATTCCAGCATACAAATTTGTCAGCATGGCATATTGCATTTCTCCATGTAAATTTTATCGATTTTTTTTTTTTTTTTTTTTGGTCAGTTGTGGGGCTTGAACTCTGGGTTTGGGAGCTGTCCCTGCACTCTTTAGCTCAAGGCAAGTGCTCTACCGCTTGAGCCACAGCGCCACTTCCAGTTTTCTAGTGTTTATTGGAGATAAGAGTCTCATGGCCTTTTCTGCTTGGGCTGGCTTTGAACCGTGATCCTCAGATCTCAGCCTCCTGAGTAACTAGGATTACAGGGGTGAGCCACCAGCACCCAGCAGATTTTATTGATTTTTGAGGTACTGGGAATTGAACACAATGCATCACAAATTTTAAGGCAAGAATTAGCTACATCCCCAGCTCTTGCCATGGATTTCCATGCAGGAGATTCTTTTGATCTGATGCTTTTCGTCCTGTTATGCACATTGGTCTTATGTTTTTAATTCCAGGGTTTTCATTTTCTTAGTTCTTGATTTTTTTTTTCATTCAGATTTCAGACTCTTAGAATTGAACCAGGAAGGTTCTGGTTGATTGTGTGCATTATAGAAAAAGATGTAGTGTGTATTTTTTTCCTCTTTCATTTTCAAGACTTAATTTTTTTTTAACAGATATCCTTACAGGTAAGTGGATATGCTGATTCAAACTATAGGACTAGTTCAACTGACATATAGATCAAGTAGTTGAAAAGCCTCTGTTAAATAGTTTATTATTGGTTGTGGATCACAGCTTACCTTATATACCATTTTATCCAGTACTATAGACTCCTCCACTAAGCCTTTCACTAGTGTTTCTTTTTGGGGAATGTTATGCTAATACTGCCTGTTTCACCAAAACACAAGTAAAGAAACATTCTGGCTGGGCACTGGTAGCTCACGCCTATAATCCTAGCTCATCAGGAGGCTGAGATCTGAGGATTATAATTTGAAGCCAGCCTGGGCAGCAAAGGCCATGAGACTCTTATCTCCAGTTAACCACCAGAAAACCATAAGTTGAGCTGTGGCTCAGTGTTAGAGCACTAGCCTTGAGCAGAAAAGTTCAGTACAGCACCCAGGCCCTGAGTTCAGGACCCATGACAGAAAAAAAGAAAGAAAAACAAACATTCTGTTTGTTCTTTAGGATGTGTTAGGCAAGCTGACACAATACAGACTGCCGGTATTTCTGATCTTCTCAGGCATGTGTTGTCCCTTGCAGTCGAGCCAGATCCATGAATGCTAAGGTCCACACTTACCTTATTCTGTGTGGTCCCAGCCTTTCCTTTTACACAGCCAACTGGGCGGTTAGGTGTTATTGGATTGTTTTGCATGTTCCAGATTTATTTATTTTACTTTTTTTTTTTTTGTCAGTCTTGTGGGGCTTGAACTCAGGGCCTGAGCACTGTCCCTGAGCCTCTTTGTGTTCAAGGCTAGCTAGCACTCTACCACATTGAGCCACAGCACCACTTCTGGTTTTCTGGTGGTTAATTGGAGATAAGACTCACAGACTTTCCTGCCCAGGCTGGCTTTGAAACTTGATCCTCAGATCAACCTCCTGAGTAGCTAGGGTTTCAGGCATGAGCTACTGAAGCCTGGCTAAATGCAGGCTTTCATTTTGTCATTTTCTGTAGTGTTTAAGCAGTGGCATCTTTTTAACTTTTCCAGTGATTCTGCAGGATGTCTTGACATCGAGTCCGATATACATTCATGGGAATCATTTCTTTCTAACGTTACAGAAGAAATTAAGAAAGCAAAGGTAAGCTGTAAAACTTTTCATTATTCTGTCAAAATCTGTAGGATGGTTATAATTCTCAGAATGGTAGTGTCATGTTTAAACTGTTTTTTAACTATTGGTAGCAATAATATATTTTTGTTGACATTCTGAGTTTTTTATGAGGTTAATAATCAACTCTGTCCTTGATTGATATAGTTGTTATATATGATAAATTTTTACAGCATTCTAATTAGTGAGATCTTACTGTGAACTTTTAAGAAATAATTGTGTTGGCCGGGCGCCAGTGGCTCATGCCTTTAATTCTAGCTACTCAGGAGGCTGAGATCTGAGGATCTCGGTTCAAAGCCAGCCCTGGCAGGGAAGTCCATGAGACTCATTTCCAATTAACCACTAGAAAACCAGAAGTGATACTGTAGCTCAAGTGGTAGAGCACTTGCCTTGAGCTGAAGTGCTCAGGGACAGCGCCCAGGTCCAGAGTTCAAGCTCTACTTCCCCCCCCCCCCCCCCAAAGAAAACAGAAGAAGAAAGAGAAGTAATTGTGTTAAGTAGCGCACAGGTAGCTCATGCCTGTAATCCTAGCTGCCCAGAAGGTTGAGATCTGAGATCTGAGAATTGCAGTTCAAAGCCAGCCCAAGCAGAAAAGAGCTTCATGAGACTCTTTTATCTTCAATTAACCACCAAAACACCAAAAGTGGAACTGTGGCTTGAGTGGTGGGATGCTAGCCTTGAGCAAAGGAGCTTAGGGACAGCACCAAAGTCCTGAGTTCAAGCCCCCGGATCAGCACCAAAAGAGAAAGAGAGGTAGGGGGGAGAGGTTGGGAGAGGGAAAGGGAGAGAGAGAGAGAAATTGCCTTACTCTAATACATTTTGTGTCAGTTGTGTTTCTTAGAAAATTCTTGATCATAGTGGTGTACACTAAGGAAAAAAATGATTTTCCTTAGGAATTTAGAAAAACTTCACATTTTCCCTTCTACCCACAGGCTGAGTTTGAAGAGCAAATTGAAGCAATTAAAAATGGTTCTCTGCTCAGTGACCTTTCTAAAGTACAGATTTCTGAGCTTTCATTTCCTGCTTATAGTACAGTAAGTCTGTTGCATCTTATTTTGATAGGGAGGGGAAAATGAAGCACTCTTAACTGGTCCATATAGCTTGTTGGAGTGTTGTTCTGGGATGGGATGGCATTGTGACTGTCCTCATGCTTTCATTATTGGTGTCATTACTGTCCATATGCTTTCATTACTGACGGAACATCAGTCGGCAGCTGGGCATGTTCCACTTTCATGTACCTCATCTGCCTTTATTACCCAGGTGCTACCACACACGTGTGTGGTACTTGCATTCTCACATCTGAATCAAGGCATAGAAGTGCCCGCAGTTGAATCAGACCCTCCTTACTATTTGCACCCATGGTTCTCATTCCTGCATACCTGCAGGTGTTTCCTCATCAAATACAGAATAAGTATGGCTATACCTCAGATATGCAGGGCTTTGATGGGCTAGCATAATGCATTTTAATGTTAATTTTTGAGATATAACATGAATCAAAGATGATCAGACATTCTTATAAGAATGTAAAGACTGTTAAAAGGTCAATTAAAGGTGAGTTTTAGAATGCTTTGACATGACATGAAATAGTGTCTACAAGCAGAGGAAGGAAAAACCTGATTTCTACCTATTTGCTATTGCAAGACCCTTGACTGGGCCAGTCATGTGCCTGCAATGCAGTCTACTGTCCCCATAGAGCCCGCCAGGGCTTCCCTCTCAGCTGCCCCTGCGCAGCCCTGCTGTGCTCTGCGCTGTTGGGTCTCCTACTCGAGATCCCCTCCTCAGCTCCTTCTCAGTGATCTTCAACATCTTACGGGTGAAAAGCATAAGCACTTTCATTGACCTGAGTAAGAAGCAGGGTTTTATTTAGAATTGAAGATCACCTCTCATTTACAGCTTCTCCCAAGTCTTTACAACTTTGAATCTTCGAGCACTGTTACCAATAATTTGTCATTTTGGCTTAATGAAATTTTGTAATTGCTCAAAAGAACTTTTATTTTCAAATCCTGGAAAATCTCATTGTGCCCCTAAAAGCCATCCACTTTGTGTCTCATTTGCCTCTCATTCGCTCACTCATTGACTCAGTGGTGAACAAGCAGTGGGCCCTGCCGGGCACCAGTGACTCAGGAGGGTGAGATCTGAGGATTGCGGTTCAAAGCCATCCTGGGCAGGAAAATCCGTGAGACTCTTATCTCCAATAAAAACCACCAGGAAACCAGAAGTGGTGCTGTGGCTCAAGTGGTAGAGCGTTCGCTTTGAGCTGAAGGCTGAGGGACAACACCCAGACCCAAAATTAAAGCCCCATGGCTGACCAAAAAAAAAAAAAGAAAAGAAAAGAAAAGAACTGGGCCCTAAGAGTGGATGCAGAGCTTGGTGAAGGGACTGTGGGGAGAGCATCTGACTGTACAATACAAGACACAAGTGCCTGGACCAAAGAAGCCTTGTCTCTATGCTGTGTTACACAGTCTGAGCAATTCCCTAGGAGTCCCCAGCTAGCAAGTTGGTCTAGGGTCAGGTACTTTATGAAGATGAGCCAGATGGCAGTGTAGAGAAAACCTGGAGTGAATCCACTTGCCTGGGGATGAGCCATCAGTGGAGTATGGGTTGTGAAGTGGCTGTGAGGGTAATGGTATTAGAACTCTGGAACAACTTGTGTTACTAGGCTGGGCTGTACCACGTGGTCAGGAGAGAAGTCCAAGGTGGGCCCCAAGGGCAAAGTACATTGAAATTTAGATTTTGTGCAGATGGGGATCTCAGGATAGTAGTCTAGACTGGAATCTGAAAGTGCTCATTACTCAGCAACAAGCACAGTTTGTGTGGCCTGAGACAATTAGAAGTAGCCTGAAGGTAGCATGCACTGGAGATAAGAGCCTCAGGTAGCGTCAGCAATATCCACTGTGAGGGCATAGACGGAGGAGAACGTGGGACGTCAGTGGTTCATACCTATAATCCAGCTACACAGGAGGCTGAGATCTGAGATCTGGGGGTTACAATTCAAAGCTAGCCCAGGCAAGAAAGTCTGTGAGACTCTTTTTTTTTTTTTTCTTTTTTGCTTATGTGGTGCTGAGGAATCGAACCCAGGGCCTCATGCATGCAAGGCAAGCGCTCTACCACTGAGCCACCTTCCCAGCCCTCTGTGAGACTCTTGTCTCCAATTAATTACCAGAAAGCTGGAAGTGGAGCTATAGCTCAAGGGTTGACCACTGTTCTTGAGCCAAAGGACAAACAGGCAGGTCCTGAGTTCAAGCCCCAGGACCAGTACCAAAAAAAAAAAAAAAAAAAGCCATAGGGAGAGCTAAGTCTACCTAACTGGCGGGAGCAGCACTGCTGGGTGTTCTATGGCACATGCTAGTGTTTTGATGAGTTGAGTCTGCTGTGGGTTTTAGCTGCAAAGGGAAGAGGTAAGATTAGGTGGAGTGTGATGTTGGGCACGTGGTAGGCAAAACCTTCTCATTGAGGCAGTTTTTCTAGTTTCACAGGGAAAATAGTGAGAATTACTTAAAAGCCACCAATCTCCCTTTGTTCTAATAATGTTGTAGTCAGTAATTCTTTTAAAACAAAAATATCACCAGGTGCTGGTGGCTCTCACCTGTAATCCTAGCTACTTAAAAGGCTGAAGTCTAGAGATTGGCGTTTGAAGTCAGCCTAAGCAGAAAAGTATTCAAGACTCCCATCTCTGAACCAGCAAAAAACTGGGCTGGAAGCATGGTTCAAATGTTGAGTACCAGGTAAGCAAGCTGATCAAGTATGAGGTCTTGAGTTCAAACCCTAGTACCAACAACAAAAGAATTTTCCATATTCAAATTTGATGTGCCCTTCAGTATAGTCCTTGAGTATTTCTCCTTTCAATTAATAATAACAGCAATCACAAAATGATCCAGCTACTGTCATATGTTCCACACAGCTTCATCTGAAGTCACTTTCTGAGTCTGAAGACCATGAAGATCCAGAGCTCCTGACTTCTGCAGGCAGCAAGATGGACATTATAGAGGATTTGGGGCTGTTTCCTGCCAGTTGCTGTGCAGATGAAATTCCTTTGGCTCTGTCAGGGGGGTCACTGTCCTGCGAGCAGACAGAGCCTGAGAAGGCTGGCCAAGCAGCTCTAGCGGAACAAAACCCGGAAGCAGAGCAGAATCAGCCTGCTCCTCCAGGACCTGCAGAACAAAGCCCCGCAGTGGACCAGAGACTGCCTGCTCCTCCTCCAGGACCTGCAGAACAAAGCCCTGAGGTAGACCAGAGACTGCCTGCTCCTCCTCCAGGACCTGCCGAACAAAGCCCCGAGGCAGACCAGAGACTGCCTGCTCCTCCTCCAGGACCTGCCAAACAAAGCCCTGAGGTAGACCAGAGCCTGCCTGCTCCTCCTCCAGAGGTAGACCAGAGCCTGCCTGCTCCTCCTCCAGGACCTGCCGAACAAAGCCCCGAGGTAGACCAGAGCCTGCCTGCTCCTCCTCCAGGACTTGCCGAACAAAGCCCCGAGGTAGACCAGAGCCTGCCTGCTCCTCCTCCAGGACCTGCAGAACAAAGCCCGGAGGTAGACCAGAGACTGCCTGCTCCTCCTCCAGGACCTGCAGAACAAAGCCCCGAGGTAGAGCAGAGACTGCCTGCTCCTCCAACACCTGCTGTTCACTCAAGCCAGTTTCTCAAAGGAACATTCAACATTGTCATGGCAAACTTGTCTCTGCTCTTCCCATGGTATAGCAGGTATGAGTGTACAGTATTAGTGCCTGTTAAGCACTTCACTGAACTGAGGTTATCTGTTCCGATAAAATCATGGCCAGCCCTGTCAGGAAGAGAACTGTACAACTGCTTAGCTCAGCAAGATAGATGTTTCTTTCTGTAAGCAGAAATGAGTGAGCATTTTTTTTTTCTTCTTTTTTGTGGGGTGAGGAGTGAACTCAGAGCCTTATGCATGTTAGGCAAGGGCACTAGCATTCAGCTATACCACCAGACCCCCAATAAAGGTGGTTTTGGTATAGGTGTACTGGTCCTGGTGCTTGAACTCAGGGCCTAGGCACTGTCGCCTGAGCTTTTTTGCACTATACTTGAGCCCCAGTTTCACTTTCCAGCTTCTTAGCGATTAATTGGAGATAAGAGTCTCACAGACTACTGCCTGAGCTGGCTTTGAACCAAAATCCTCAGATCTTGGCTTCCTGAATATCTAAGATTACAGGCATGAGCCACTGGTGCCAGCTACTTAGCAGTAAAACAACAACAAAACCTTTTCGTTGTTTATCATTTATTTTCCTCATCTTTTCCTTGTAGCATTGAACTTGTTGGATTTATCAAAAAAGTTCGAAGCAAAAACAAGAACTTATTCTCCGAATTGAAAGCTGATGAAATTATTCAGAAAGTGAGAGAACATATTCTAGATGAACAGAAAAAGAAAAAGGTATTTCATTTGGGCACAGTAAAATGTTCAGCTTCATTCTTATTTGTAAAGTGTGAGAATTGGGGAGCAGAGGAAGTTCCATGGAGAAATTCAATAAAGACAGAAGGTAGTTGAACCTTAAGGTAACTGGCTTTGCTTTTCCCTTGTCCCTCCATCCCCTTCCCCATTCACCTTATTTCTGCAGCCAAATCCAAGAAAGGACCTGAGGACATCGGAGGTCAGCTCCGCTGCTTCTGTGACCCGGACTCCCCAGGGGCCATCCTCGTCCAAAGCCAAGGGCCAAAAGGCAGTAGATAGCCCAGTGAGTATATAGCTGGTTTTGCTTTCTAATGAAGAATAAGGAGAAAACAAAAATTTTAATAATGAATTATACCTCTTTCCTTTTTACTTTTTGAGCTAATTTATTTGGTCCTAAAATTAGAAACTAAATTACACTGTATTTGAAGACACCAGTAGAGTACTGGCTGGCTGAGACAAGTGTGCTGGGACAAGGGGGAGACCCCCGAGCAGGAGCGCGGCCCTCAGTGCGCTCGGCCTTCCCCCTCTCGCCCTTGATCTGCTGCAGATGGACAGAATCTTGTGTCAAGTGTAGTATTTTCAATAGTAGGAAAAAGGAGGACATTATTATTTGCAACTGGGGCTATTATACCTGTAACCTAAATTGAAAAGGCCATCTCACGGTCCTGTTTTATAGTAAGAAATTAAGACTGGGTGCAATAGGCTCACATTGTAATTCTATTTGCTCAGAAGGCTCAGATCTGAGGCTCATGGCTCAGAGCCAGCAGGGCAGGAAAATCTGTGAGACTCTTTATCTCCAATTAACTACCAAAAAGCCAGAAGTAGAGCTGTGGCTCAAGCCTTGTGCACAAACTAAGCAAGAGCACAAGATTCTGAGTTCAAGCCTTAAAACCCACACTAAACATAAAAAATTAAGGAAATCAATACAGAAAATGGTCTGGAGTTCATAACATTCACTGAAGACTAGCATAGCCCAGAGCCTCATGCTGACTTCAACACAAAGCTCATCATCCTGCCGCCCGCCACAATGGCCCGGACAGGAGACGCAGTGGGGTCGCACGCCACCTGTGTTGCCTCAGTGCTATTGGACTCTGGTGGGGAGCACATTTTTGCAGCTGTGGTACCGAGTGTGGATAACATTCAAGGAGCTGCAGACCCTGTGACAGTCTCCCCCGGGGAGTCAGCAGCTCGACCTGGCACAGTGCCAGCTTGCAAACCTGAGCTTGCACTGGGCCTCTTTGTTATTCCTCCTGTACAATTTTGTTTTCTACTAGTCTTTGGAGATTTTCCATATTATGTAGTCTGAGCTTCTAGAATGTTTCCTCCCATCCTAGGGCATTTCCCAGGAATTGGATCCCATGCTCTGTGACCTTCTGGCTCAGCGGGATTCTGGGATATTTGCATTTGTGTGCTGATGTATTGCTGTCCTTACCACTAGGTAGACCATGTGTCAGTTGAAGGAAAGTGATTCCCTGCTTCACAGTTAATGTTGAAGTAGTTTAAGGTAAAAAAGATGATTCATTTAAACTTTATCACATTTTATGAGGAAAAAAAGTATTCAATTGGGGCTTGATAATCATAGGTAGTTTTTTTTTTTTAATTGAGAGCAATTTGTTCAGTATTTTTACATTACAGAAGTAACATATTCACAATACAAAGTCCAAATGGTAAAAAGGCATTTGAAAGTCCTAAAGCTAGGTGTGGTGTCATACATTTGTGATCCCAGCCACTGGGGAGGCTGAAGTAGGAGGCTCATGAGTTCAAGGCCAGCCTTGGCGTATGTGGAGATCTCCATCTCAAAATCAACACCCTAAAATGTAGCCACTAATCGGCATTATAACTTTGATATTTTCTAAACTCTTTGACTTGTTCGTGTGAATTTTGTCAAAACTGAATACTTTTCATACACTTCGGGATATTTCATTTTTGTGTGTGTGTTGTTCTTTTCTGAGTCACTATACCCATTTTTCCACACTTGGAAACAGTCAAGCTAACTGTAGGTTTTTCTAGCTTAACTTGAGCTTTGCAGAGGTGCTTGGAAAGGCCTTAACCTGTACTTCCTCAGGGCTGTGGCCTCCGTTTCTTCCTGATCCTTGAGTCACACATGGACACCATCAGCGGCTTGAACCCTCGTACTACTGCTTATGCCCAATCTGAGCCCCATCTGTGCCATGAGGAAGAAAGGGACAGCCTGGCCTCTGGGCCCTGGCTATAGCTCTTACCCTTGATCTGAATCCACTCCTGCCGCTTGCATTTGTCATTGTTCAAACGTGCGACTTTCTGGGACCTATGTTCCTCATCTGCTGTAAAGGTCCGGGTAAACAAGACTCACTTCTCGTCTCCAGGATGCTCAGAGTTGAGCAGTGAATTAGAGAAGTTGCTGGTGACTTCTGGGGTAAGTGGTGTGAGCTGCAGGCAGAATTCTGGACCTCATGGCCTAGATGGCACTCATTACACTGTGCTCAGTACACTGAGACACAGAGGCTGGAAATCTTTTCACTTCTGTGCAGCACCCCATAGACTCCTGGCCACATACAGGCTCAGTTTGTTTTGTGTTCATTTCAGAAGTAACTATGTTCATAGAAAATTTTAGAAACTAGTAGAAAATAGTCTTCCTTAACAAGAAATAATTTTTACTATTTTCTGTGTCTTACCAGATTCTTTCCTCGGCTCTTTGTAAACATTAATTCCCTTTATTTTTATATAATTGAATTATGTCAGCCAGACACCTATGACTGATGCCTGTAATCATGGTACTCAGGAGACTGAGATCTGAGGATTGTAGGCAGGAAAGTCCATGGTACTCTTATCTCCAAGTAGTCAATAGAAACTCAGTACTAGAGCTGTGGCTCAAGCAATAGAGTGCTAGCCTTGAGCAAGAAAACCTCAGGGACAGCTCCCAGGCCCTGAGTTCAAGCCCTAAAACCAGCACACGAAAAACTGAATTATATAGTAAATACCATCTTATTACTTGCCCCTTTTTTTTTCCCATCATGGTGCTTGAACTCTTGGCCTGGACGCTGTCCCTGAGCTCTTCAGCTCAAGGCAAGCTCTCTACCACTTGAGCCACAGTGCTACTTCTCGTTTTCTGGTGGTTCATTGGAGATAAGAATTTCACGGACATGGGCTGGGAAGGTGGCTCAGTGGTAGAGTGCTTGCCTTGCATGCATGAGGCCCTGGGTTCGATTCCTCAGCACCCCATAAGCAAAAAAGAAAAAAAGCCGGAAGTGGCGCTGTGGCTCAAGTGGTAGAGCGCTAGCCTTGAGCTGAAGAGCTGAGGGACAGCGCCCAGGCCCAGAGTTCAGGCCCCACGACCAGACCCCAAAAAAAAAGAATTTCACGGACTTTACTGTCCGGACTGGCTTTGAACTGCAACCCTCAGATCTCAGCCTCCTGAGCAGCTAGGATGACAGGCGTGGGCCGCCAGCGTGGATACTTTAGATCCCTGGTAGATAATGAGCAGGCGCCACACAGGCACCTGTAGAGCAGGCTTCCAGTGCTCTGCCTGGGCGTCCACATTAAATGAAAAACAATGCTGCTTTCGGAAAATCAGAACTCCAAGAGTGTACAGTTCTTGGTATTTTAATGTTTTCTCAGAAAGTACTGAAAAAATAAGCTTCTTAACGGCTGTAATTTGCCACCCTGGGTGGGAAAGCACTGAGCGCCTTCGTGGTATGAATCATGAAGGGCTCAGAGTGTAAAAAGAGCACAGCTGCTACTCTACATTGTTCACGTGTGCTTGATTCCGCAGGCACCCGACGAGAATCCCTGCGCGCTGTGCCACGACGAGTTCAAATCAAGAGCTCTGCGCACACTCAAGTGTGGGCACAAGGTTCACAAGGGGGTGAGTTTCCCCGGTGGCATCGTGTTCCATGCCTTGGGACTGCCACACATTTGAAAAACAAAAATGGCTTTTCTAGCATCAGTACTTAGGTTTCCAAATCCACTGTCTTTGCTAACCTCCACATACCTGTCCTGCAGGTAGGGGTCAAGGAGGGCGGCTGTGTGTGAGAAAGTTCACAGGGTGCTTGTTCACAGTCTGCCTTGTTCAGGTGTGCTCTCCCCCGCAACCCGCGTCACATCACACGCAGCCGGGAGCCAACAGAACTGAACTGGGGCTGGAGGGGCGTGAGAGTGAGAGAGCCAAGGCCATGCAGAAGGATGGCTGGGAACTGGGTGCTGGGGTCGAGGGTCATGGAAATGGCAACTTTTCTTTCGCTGTGATTTCGGGGAGGGCGGGCAAGGGGTGGAGCGCTGTGGCTGCCGGGAGGCAGCCCGTGGGTAAGGCAACTTGGAGAGGCCAGGAACCAGCCAGAGATAATCGTGTATCTGATTCTGGAGTGAGATTTTTCCCAAAGCTTCATTCATCCCCGATCTGAACACACATCAATGTCCCTAAAAGTTGGACAGCTCCAGCCTCTGCTAGGCTTAGAGATGACATGACCCTGCCTTCCAATGCGCAGTGGCAAAGGACAGCTGGGCAGAGGTTCTGAAGGCGCTGACTGACTCTGTCGCCTCCTTTTCAGTGTTTTAAGCAGTGGCATAAGGGGCAGAGTGCGTGTCCCACCTGTGGCAGTGGCGACCTGAAAGAAGATTAGTCCACACCGCATCCCTGGACCCCTGGCCCGCGACGCCAGGCACCACCTACCGATGCTCCGTCCTCGCCCTCGCTAGAGCACCGCTTCCTGTGTGCTGACAAAAACGTCAAGTCTCCTGTGCTGTGTGTGTCACAAAGCTACTAATGGAAACGTGTAATGCCGTTGACATGGAATAATTTCCCCTCTCCGATGATAGTCAGATAGTGACTCAGGATCTGTCACCGCAGTCTTGTGTTGTCACAGTTAATGCACAGCTCTGTGAGACAGATGACTTCTCTTCAGAAGTGTTGTAGCAGTGTTTGGATTATAAGAATGTTTTACCTGGTCAGATAACAAGGGTTTGAGAAACCTAGAAAGTGCCATAAGAAAAGATACTGACCTTTATTTTATTTTATTTTTTTGGGTCCAGTCGTGGGGCCTGAACTCTGGGCCTGGGTGCTGTCCCTCAGCTCTTCAGCTCAAGGCTAGCACTCTACCACTTGAGCCACAGCACCACTTCCGGCTTTTTTTCTTTTTGTGTATGTGGTGCTGGGGAATCGAACCCAGGGCCTCATGCATGCAAGGCAAGCGCTCTACCACTGAGCCACCTTCCCAGCCCAGATACTGACCTTTATAACTCCTACGAGATCCACTATTTCTAAAGCTAGGCCTCCATGTTCCTCATAGGTCCTGTGTTTAAAAATGAGCTAAAAGTGAATCACATTTTTTATAATTTGTAGGTATTACAGAATATTGGCTGATAAAGACCAAAAGATTAAGATCTGTTTTGCTTTGGCTTTCCATGGCATTACTTTATTCCGTCCCCCTCAGATTTTTTTAAAGTGCTTATTTTTCATCTTTTTAAAAATTAATCTGATTTTTGAAACTCATCTATAAAACACTTTTTTCAGTATCAGCCATTTTTTGCCCCTGGGATCAAGGCTGTGTGTGAATATCTTTCCAGCCCCGCATCTGAATTTGTTCTTGGAATAGTGTGCTGCCTTGTCTGCCACACGTGGTTGTCTCTGTGACAGCAGGTGTGGGTGTCTCCTGTGAGCACACAGACACTGTGCAGACCCGGCACCATCGTTCTTTCCCGAATCTCCTCTGACCACCAGAAGCCATCCTGAGGTGTTTGTGTCACAGCCTTTCTGTGTTTGACATTTGTGTGAAGTAATGCATGCAGTCGTGTGCTATGGCCTGAGAACGAAAACTTAACTGTTAGAAACTCCTGGAAAATAGATATCCTTTGACCAGAAGACTGGTAAATACAGAAACAGGAGTTCTGGAAACATTCCATTTCCCTCAAACATGAAAGGTCAGAAAATGTTTTTCAGTATTGTTCTTTGTCCACTGGACATATATCTGAGCGGATGTGGTCGCCATCTTCTGCCTGTGTCTCCCCGTGAGTCATACTGTCTTAGTGACTTAGTCTGCGGCGGCTCGCTCTTGTCTGCCTCTCAGAACACACGAGCGCTGTGCACACTACACTCTGTAGGGGCTAGGCCACAGCGTCGGGCAAGAGGAGAGCAGACAATGTGATCTTGCTTCATCTCAAAGCCCTGTGAAAATGCCTTACATCTGTCCAGTGATTGTCAATAAAGAACATTCGAAAAGACAAGCGGTCCCCTGTCGTCTTTGCCCATTCTTTCTCAGGTAGTTTATTTAGATGCATTCTATGGAACACTTGGCCCCCCTGCCACGTTAACATTTAGAGAGTGGCTTCATTTGGAAGAGACCGAGCGGAGTGGACCAAGCATTTCAGAACCGCCATCAGACACTCCTTCGTATCTAAAGAAAGCTTGCCAAGCCCCAGTTCACAAGATGGGACCAGAAGGGCTATTTTAAAATCTGTGAGTGGGACGTTTCCACGGAGATGATAGAAAGTATAGAAAGTTTACTGTTCGGGCTAAGGTAAGGGATTTTTCACGTGACTACATGTAAAAACACTGAAGATAGTTGTGTTCCTCGGTATCATTTTTTTCTAAAGCATTGTAGATTCATGGACTGCTGAGCTGACCAATGGGTTCCTTTTCTAAAGGAACAGATACACTGTGCACTGAAGGATTCGAAAATTCTCATGTTTATTCAGAATATCATTACTTATTTTTAATGTGGTAGCATTTTTCTCAAAATGGTGTCTAGCTTATGGCAATAACTACTGAAGCGTCTCATCCATGTTATGAAGAACCAGTAAATCCGGGAGAAAACTGAAGTGCTGCTAAAGCAAGGCACTGTGTCAAGTACTGGAGAGTGGAGACTGCGCTGGTGAGCGCAGTGAGGACTGGGGAGTGTGGAGACTGCTGGTGAGCGCAGTGAGGACTGGGGAGTGGACGCTGCGCTGGTGAGCGCAGTGAGGACTGGAGAGTGTGGATGCTGCGCTGGTGAGCACAGTGAGGACTGGAGAGTGTGGATGCTGCACTGGTGAGTGCAGTGAAGACGAGAGTGGAGACTGCTGGTGAGCGCAGTGAGAACTGGCGAGTGGATGCTGCGCTGGTGAGCACATAAGAACTGGAGAGTGGAGACTGCTGGTGAGCGCAGTGAGAACTGGAGAGTGGAGATTGCTGGTGAGCGCAGTGAGGACTGGAGAGTGGACGCTGCGCTGGTGAGCGCAGTGAGGACTGGCGAGTGGACGCTGCGCTGGTGAGCGCAGTGAGGACTGGCGAGTGGATGCTGCGCTGGTGAGCACAGTAAGAACTGGAGTGTGGAGACTGCGCTGGTGAGCGCAGTGAGGACGAGAGTGTGGAGACTGCTGGTGAGCGCAATTTGACTCATTCCCCCGTCGGTTGGCTTCAGGGAAACAGGTGAGAGCTTGGGATACACAGCTGCTCTAAGCAACAGAAAGCACTCGCCCTAACACTAAAGGGTTGGTATGTTGGAGTCATCACAGTGAAGCGCTGTGAAAATGCCAGCCATAAAACGCAAGGCAGAATCCCAGCGAACATCGCAGGCGGTGGTCAGCTCATCCAAACAGCAAAGATTCCAGTGTTCCACCCACATCCACGTGGTCCATCCATGTTTTGATGACCTAATTGACTCACTATGCATTATCAAGTAAGTACAAGCTCAGACCACAGCTAAGGGAGGTACGCTTTCTTGAAGCTGCCTGGTGGTGGCACAGGATCACCTGACTTGGCAGAGGAGCCACTTGTCATCTCCACGGCACCAGTGAAGGTTCGGGCAGTGGACTCCTCTCCCACTGGCTTCAGTACCAAGCAGTGGCTAACCTTTCCTGGTTAAACAAAAGCAATTACTATAAATGGTTGTTTGCCGGGGTTGTGTCTGGAATAGTGTAGCGTAAGTCCAGCACCCCGCAACCTCATGTTCAGTGGTGTCACGGTGGAAGCTTGAGATGAGTCCCGTGGGAGTATTTACCAGACGCTGCCTGGTGAAGCTGCCGCCGCCTGGAGTTCGGCGAGGGCTCCTCGCTGCCCAGATGGCTCTGTTGCGCGAGCTCCTTCGCACCACACTCAGCAGGACTGTTCCTCGGTGCTGCTGCGCTGGGCGCTGCACCTGCCCAGACTCAGGCCCAGAAACAAAGACAGCCCCTGACAGCTCCCTCTCCCCTCCTCCCTCCCCCCAGAGCCCAGGAGGGCACCCGCGTGCACCCAGCACAAGCGTGTGTCCTAAGCCACCATGAGGATGACACCCAGCCACCCTGGGAGGGAAGACTGGCTCGGGCCCCGCCAGTCCCTCCGCCTCGCCAAGCGCGCGGTGCGCACAGCCGCGGCCGGCGCTGGGCTCCAGAGCTCGCTCTTCCCAATGTGCTGCGGTGCGCAACAGAGGTGTCATTGTGCGGAGCAAATATCTGAGGCGCCCGTGGAAAAAACCATTCTGTCTTCTAAGGTCTTCCTCCTCCATTTTCCAAACTGTAGAAAGGCAGCTTGCCCAATTCCTTCGGTGTAATATTTCAGCAGCCTTTTATTTGGTGTGATAGAAAGGTCTTAATTTAGACCTCCCTGCCCCCACCCCCCGCTCCGTATCCTGAAGTGCCGCCGGTCCTGGGCTGAGCCCGCAGCCTCTGAGAAGAGCCTGGGGCACAGACGGGCTTGGTGCCTCCGCGCTGCCCGCTGCCCAGCCTGTCCCTGGCCAGGGCTTTGGCATCCGCATTCGCCACAGCTTCCAGCGGCCGGGCCGGGGAACACGGGTGGGTGCGGCCGTGGCCTTCCTCTTCTGTGAGCTGATGTCGCTGTGCATCCTGGGGTTGGGGGAGCACCCCAGCTCTTCCCCCAGATACAACCTAAGTGGCAGCACATTTCGCCATTCATCTTCCCATCCACCCGTCCATCTGTCTGTGCATCCAGTCTTCCCAGGCCAGTGTGACTGCAGGTGGCGGCTACCGCAGGGAGAAGAAAGCCCAGCCGGCCAGTGACCCCAGTGTCTCCAGCATCGCAGAGGAGCTGGGGAGGGGGGCACCTGAGGAAGCGCAGCAGGCAGACCGGGAAGGCACGGAGCAAGTGGAGGTGTCCAGCGAGGGGACTCGGGCGACGGGTGGGGCTACCAGCAGGGATGGCCAAAGACCGGCTGCGCGAGGATGTTTACCTGCAGCGGCCCGCCTCTTGCTGCCAAGGCCGCCTTTGCTGTTAGTTCTTCTATGGCCTTGGACCTGGGGACCTGGTCCAGACGCCAGGCAAAACAAAACGGGGGGGGGGGGGGGGGGGGGGGGGCCCTAGGTGATGTTGGCGTCATCAGATTTAGATGACGCCAATAGAATGACAGACAGAATGTCATTCTATCAGCCCCTAATTAAGCCCCACCTCCACCCGTTTCTCTTCCAGTGGCTGTCCTCTGCTGGCCGCCTCGCGTGGCTCCTGTGTCCTCACAGCTGCTCCCTTCATCCTGCCCCCACCCCCTCCCCTCCAGTGGAAGCCTTCAAGAGCATTTTCCTTAATTTTGAGACAGGGGTCTCACTATGCGCTCCAAGCTAACCTCAGATTTACAGTCTTCCTGCCTCTCTCCTGAGTGCTGGGGTGTTTACAGGTGTATGCTACCACACAGTGCTACATTCAGGCAATGGAGATGAAATCAATGGCCTTAC